ATGAATCCATAGTTGTCATTGTTGTCATCAGCAGGAAGATCAAGTGTTTTTTCTACTGTATACATCGCTTTTCATGACAGCCACGGACTCTTCACTTTCATACCACTACTGCAGCCACAGATGCTCTGGGCCAGAGTGACAGAAACAAAGCCACTAATCTGTTTCATTTGCACCTCTCACCACCAATCATTCATGTACACACCAGACTTCAAAAATAGCTGTAAAAAGTCAATGTTATAACCCTTTTAATACAAGTAACATACAAAGAGTTTGAGAACGGGAGGAATCAGGATTTTAAAAAAATGTAGTGCCACTTTTTGCAGGTTCGGGCTAACTCATTATTTCCAGCAGTTGGAGATGGTGCAGTACGGGCCCCTGTCACACCTCCATGATCAGCCCGCACCTCTCCATGGCATCCTGCAATTGGTTCTTGATATTGACCAGCTCGTGGACGCAGCCGTGTAGGATGTCCGCAGAGCTCTTGATCTCCGCCACAATGAGGGCAATGTAGCTCTTCTTGAGTTTGCGGGCCTGCACCCGGGCTGCGCCCACAGCCCGGGTGCACACGGCCTGAGCACGAGCCGCTGGAGCCTTCATAAACTGCAGCATCTTAAGGCCGGTCTCCATCTGCACCGGATCCACAAAGCCACGCCTGACCACAAGGGCGGGATGGTCCTGCAACCGCCGCAGACCTGGGAGAGGGCAAGTGTGAGCAGAGATCATCTTAGTCAACATAAAGCTCTTATTATCAGCTAAATCCAATGTTGTTTTTATAATTCACGTGGTTCATTTTATCCACTTCTCACACAGCCTTTGTTTGGCCACATTTTGGAGATATGGACAAAACACAAAAACCTTATGTCCCCGCTCATCATTAGTGGTTGTGTGAAGGCATATATTGTCAAAGGAGATTTCTATTTTCATACTAAAACATCATTCTGTTAATATCTCAAGCGTGCAGTTCATGTAAGGCATCTCAAGAATGTAAAGGAACTGGAGGCTTATGGTCAAGAAGAATGTGCAGCTTTGACATCAGAGCAGAGAAAGATTTGTAATGTTCAACTTGATTTTAAAGGAGCTAATATACACTATTGAGAACAAGGGGATGTAAACTTCTAATCTGGGTCAGAACCGAAGTTTCTTTCTAGTTTATTTTGTGATTATAATTTTAGAATTGAAAACAGGTTTGTTTTTTATTAAATGGCTTCACACAACCCCAATGAGTCTGAAATTACTGCCTGGATTTATACACTTTCAAGCACAGCTGTAAATAATATGTAATATAATATAATATATTATAATTGCATTATTGCTCTGGGCAGATGTGTTCTTGGGGGTAAGTTTCAAAATGAGTTATTTTCCTTTATTAGTTCCTGTTACCGACAGGGTACAAGCGTTTCACTAACAAAGATGCCCACACTTTTGTCTCCCTCAACCTCCAATACCTCTCATTTAGGGCCATGCAAATCGACTCCCAACCCCTAACGCTGAATTAAATATTCTCAATGAATATGTATAAAAGTCAATGAATATCTTAATAATTATTCATTAAGTATCTCACACACCTGCCACTTTGAGAATCAGCATGTAAGGATATGTGTGCTTCCCCCTGGCCAAAATGATTCGTCACAGATGGTCACGTGTACAAACATAATTATTCAGGGTGTTTTTTAATCACCGCAGGCGGGAAAATTTTATGTGAGGATAGCGCATGTGTTAATTATTTTTAAACAAGGTAGGAAGAAAAACTAAGTGGGGAACGCTGGGAGACATGGTTGAAAGCCTGTGGACAGGTTGATTCAAACTTATGATTAAGATGCAGGTCTAATATAGTACATCCATGGTGTAGAGCTGGACCTGTGCTCCCAGCTGTATCTAAAAACCACACTGCACTTTGTGAATATGTGGTTTGACTGGGAATAGAGCTAACCAGGCAGGTCATTCTTAAAGAGAGGGACCACGACCCTGGTCTGATTGTCCAGAGGTATACATCTACTGGCACAAACCTGTGCTGATGAAGCGGAGGATTTTCTGCACTTCCAAAAGATAGTTCTCATTCTGCACCAGTACAGCTGCCGCCTGTGGGTTATGAAATGAGGATGTCAATTTGCCACAATCTGACCACAATCACATGAGTTCACATATTCAAGTATCTTCAGACATCAACAAAGAAATTGAAATTAGGTCTTACAAATGGACAGAAATGGTTGGATGGAAAATTTGTACGATAATGTTCTGCGATTCCTTGATTCCTTCTTTGCGCATAGATTTCTACTTATAATTCGAGAAAATGAGCCAAACGCGAGCCTCAGCTTCACTAAGGGTCCAGTCATTTATCTGTGGGTTCTGAGACGGATTCAGTGCCTGTATATTTGTTTGTTTGTTTGTGTACTTACATGCTTCGCTGGCGCTGGAGTGATTTGAGCGCCAGCTCAAATCAACTCCGAATAGTTGTAGACCTTCTTAAAAACTAAAACAGAGATGATGGTATTAAGAGCAAATGCACAGAACACCTCTGCGTGATACTAATATTTAATTCTCCCACCTGCCCTTCTGTACACTACAATATTCAGGACTAACATTACTTTGGATACTTCCTCGAACTGTCGACGATGCGTCAGAGAAGCTGCCATAAATGTCGACGCTGCTGCTCATTGAATCGCTGAATTCCGAAGGAGCAGAGTAAAGCAGATCCTGCACAACAAGAAACAATCCTTAGAATAAACAGTTATTTGCAAATGTTAAGAGAACTCTGTTGTGCGTCTTACATTAACCTCATAAAACAAATGTTATGCATTTTGTGAAGTACCTTCAGTGGGTCTTTATTCCCACTGCTGTCAGACTGTACAACAAGTCACTTTAAAGGAATAGGCCACCGTTTTTACATACTGACATATGTTCTTACCTTACCTTAGACTAGTTGATATGTACCTGGGTGATCTTTGTCAGCTCCCGTTAGAAGCTACCAAACTCTTCCGTCAATACAAGCAGCATGAGCGGGAGAAAAGTCTTTGGGAGTTAGTGCGCGGACATAGCGCTCCTCGTATTATTACGCCTCACAATATAGGACCCCTTTTTATCCGCTGAGAAAATCGATATGTTACATTTCTGTGTTACTATACTTTGTAGTGTAACACGTCACGTAACTGTATTTAAATAGGGAACACGTGGAAGAGTTTGGTAGCTTCTAACGGGAGCTGATTTGTTACTATACAGTCTGTGGAAGAGGCTGCGTTTGTTCTCCGTTTGCATGACAGAGCGCACGGACAAAGACCAGACAGGTACATATCAACTAGTCTAAGGTAAGGTAAGAACATATGTCAGTATGTAAAAACGGTGGCCTATTCCTTTAAGTCACTGACTGAAAAAAAAAACTGTATTACTATTGACACTGTTTCTTGATGGCCACTTTTTATTGTACATAATATATCCTGAATTTAACATATTTGCAGATTTTTCTTTTTGCACAATCTTGAGTGATTCTATCCATGCCAGATGTGACATGTACAGTTCTCCTGTGTGAGATCAATAAATCCTATCTTATCTTATCTTAAATCTGTATCAAAAGGTTTTTTTTCTTTGTCAAACATAATCTGGTGTCAGTTTGATATTCATGACCTACTGTATATATGATATATAGTATTATGTTTGTTATATTTTTATTATTATTATTATTAGTATTATTATTATCATCTCATAATCTTTAGACTCATCTGGCTCTTGTCATTTAAACACAAGAAATCACATTGAAAATAAGAATATACAGTATAAAAATGAAAAAGTATGAACAAATATTTTCCCCGTTCAATACCGCATCCAGTACAAGCTCCTTCTCCTCACCTACAAGTCCCTCCATAACCTGGCCCCGCCCTAACTTACTGAGCTCCTACAACAGCACCAACCCACCCGCCGCCTTCGCTCAGCCCATTCCAACCTCCTCACTCCCATCGCCCGCACTAACCGCAGGACCTTGGGGGACAGAGCCTTCGCCATTGCCGCCCCAACCCTCTGGAACTCACTCCCACTGCCCATTAGAAACTCTGACTCACTCCCAAACTTTTAATCAGTCTCAAAACCCATCTTTTCAAACAAGCTTTTCCGTAAACCCCTTTTTTATTATTGTTTTTTTATTTTATTTACCATGTAAAGCGTCTTTGGGTGTCCATAAAAGAGCTATACAAGTTTGATGTATTATTATTATTTATATGAATCCTATGTTATTTTCATTCAAATAAATCAAAATAAGGTGGTCCAAATGAATGAGGGTTGGTGTGATCCTTTTAACGGTGTGCACACATTATTCAGGAGCATGTCTTAAAACTTGACCTCTATAGGAAAACCTCTCAATCCACCGCATCGAACTCCCTCCCACTCTCTAATATATGGAAGCCCGTTTCCGCCATGTAAAAAAAAAAAAAAACCTACAGAAAGTCAAAATTTTGACTTTATAAGTCAAAATTTCGACTTTTAAAAGTCAAAATTTCGACTTTAAAAGTCAAAATTTCGACTTTAAAAGTCAAAATTTCGACTTTAAAAGTCAAAATTTAAAAGTCTTAAAATCAAAATTTCGACTTTTAAAAGTCAAAATTTCGACTTTAAAAGTCAAAATTTTGACTTTAAAAGTCAAAATTACGAGTTTTCAACTGCGCATGTGCAGTTGAAAACTCGTATGTGTTGCTGTCTGGAACGGTCTCTGGTCATCCCTGTTATAGATCTATGACCATGGGTCATCCTCTACCTGCAGATTATGTGAAGATTTTGCCTACAGACAGTGACCACATCCATGAAGTAGCAGCAATAATGTTGTGGTAGTAATCGCGTTAAAATGCAAACGGTCTCTCCGTTTATGATTAGAATCCGCTTCAGAAGCCTCTATTTAGTTTATCCTAAACGGACTGTGGAAGATTAATAATAAAACACATGTGGCTGTTCAAAGTCATTGAGCATCAACTGGTGACATCTGGTCAGTATCACGGCTATCGATGGATGCACCAGAAATGCAGTGAATAATATTGTGACTGACAGAGAGACCGTTCGCGATTACAGGACAGTGAGGGAGGTCCGCAGACAGAGGCAGGAGAACCACAGACAGAGGCAGGAGAACCACAGACAGAGGCAGGAGAACCACAGACAGAGGCAGGAGAACCACAGACAGAGGCAGGTAAACCACAGACAGAGGCAGGAGAACCACAGACAGAGGCAGGAGAACCACAGACAGAGGCAGGAGAACCACAGACAGAGGCAGGAGAACCACAGACAGAGGCAGGAGAACCACAGTCACGGGCACTGACAATAATACCCTTTTGGAATTGTGATCAGTGCAATGAAGAGTATGTGACGTGTTTGCGTGCACGCGGGGGTGAGCTGATGGAGCGTGCGGGTAAAGTTGTTGGCGTATGAGCAAGAACACAGAGACATACAGGGAATAAGTACCTTGTCTGATTATTTTATTGTGACAAAATAAAGCCCACGACTCTTTTAGCAACAATCCGGAGAAATAACTCCGCAGATAACAGTGAGGGTCTTTGAAAAGGGTTAGAAATAGATAAACCCATTATAGATGCATGAATAAAACCCCGTACTCAACACGTAGAAAGCGCATCCTTTCAGCCGTGGAAATACTCGCTCCGTGTGGACCCCTCTCAGCGCCATCGTCTGGTCAGAGTGGTCTATAGCAGATTGGATTGGAATGTCTCGATGGCTCATTTTCCTTTGATTTATTATAAAAACGTATTGCTCACATTATTTGTTACTATGTCGAAATAAGAAGTCGTTTGATTTTAAATGTTGTATATATGTAAATTGAATTTAACATAAATAAATAAAAAGACAGCTCCTCCCTGCCTCCTACGACCGCGGTCTGGGGCTTAAACAGGAACGTTTTACAGAATCAATCAAACAACATTATTTCTGGCTACTTCAAGGATGCAGTGGTCGCTGTCAGCAATATCTTCACATAATCTGCAGGTGCAGGACGTCCAGAGACCGTTCCAGACAACAACACACACGAGTTTTCAACTGCACATGCGCAGTTGAAAACTTAAAACTAAGTCAAAATTTTGACTTTTAAAGTCGAAATTTTGACTTTTAAAGTCGTAATTTTGACTTTTAAAGTCGAAATTTTGACTTTTAAAGTCGAAATTTTGACTTTTAAAGTCGAAATTTTGACTTTTAAAGTCAAAATTTTGACTTTCTGTAGGCTTTTTTTTTTTTTTTTACATGGCGGAAACGGGCTTCCATACTAATTCATTATGAACTATATACACATAAAAATGAGAGAACAAACTAAATAAATTATCATATGGAGCTAAAAACCGTCAATAAGTACGTTAGATTTTGCATAATGTACCATCTCCAATGAGTTGAAAAACGTGTTTGTCATGAAGCAAAACCACACAACTTATCTCTTTAAAACTATTTCACAAACAGATGAAATTGCATGGAGTCAGTTGAAAGTTATTTTAGCCGCAGGTTGATTGTGACATTCATGAAGCAAGATCCTGTTTATCAAAAACAGCTGTTTCTTTTACCTCAAAATATTGCTCATTTCTAACATCAAAAAAGGGTTATTTATTGGGGCCTGTTTTTCACTAAAAACTATTTTGAGGTCCATCCATACTAATATCTACAATATCACAATATTATTTGCGAATCTTCACATCAACAAAGTAATACAATCATTTTCTAACTCCAGGAGACCAAGAGGGACTAATATAACGGTTGATATTCCTTCAAATCATTGTAAATATATAGATACGTCAGAACTCACCATAGTGGAGATTGTGTCGCTGCTGCAGATTTGTAAAAGGGGCTTAACACATCGTCGCCGACATTCTTCAAATGGATGTCATGCCGTTACTGTAAATGTGCCAAGAGAAACCGACAAGTTTCTCCAGCTGTGAAAACCCAACCAGACTTTATAAACTACCATTGTTGTTCACACAGTACCCGTCAATCATATCAACACAGTGTACTATTATCTGCTCCTTTTAAATGCAGATAGATAAAAAAGTAAAACTATGAAAAGCAAAAATGTATCAAGAATAGCATAAAATTTATCACACATTATATTTAACTTAATTTAGATTACAGGACAAACATGAATCTACCAAGTCACTCTGGCAAAAAAGTGCAAAGTTTCATCTGACCCCTGGATAAATGAAGATATTTATCCTGTATGCATAAATATGAGTCCTGCAAATAAGGTTACTGTTATGTTTTATTTGCAATGATGGCGTCTTGTATAGTAATATTTGTGTTTGTTTAGGACCAGTTTTAATAATGACTAATGACAGGGTCTTATCAGGTGCAGCTAACATCTTCACAAGGTCTTTAGCTTCTGATTGAGGGCTTGATCTCTGGGACGGCAGCACGGTGGTATTTATTTGTTTTGTTTGGATGGATGGATGTGTTTCTGCTGCTACTGGACTTTCTGCGTTGGTCTCTATCTATCTATCTATCTATCTATCTCTATCTATCTATCTATCTATCTATCTATCTATCTATCTATCTATCTATCTATCTATCTATCTATCTATCTATCTATCTATCTATCTATCTATCTATCTATCTATCTATCTATCTATCTATCTATCATCTATCTATCTATCTATCTATCTATCTATCTATCTATCTATCTATCTATCTATCTATCTATCTATCTATCTATCTATCTATCTATCTATCTATCTATCTATCTATCTATCTATCTATCTATCTATCTATCTATCTATCTATCTATAGCATATCTTGATACAAATGTAAAATATATAAGTAACAAATTATAGACATTTAACAGTGCACAGTGTCCACAGGTATGATGTTTTTATGTAACAGATTGTAAAGGGCACGGTACATACTAGTAAAACTGAATTGTTTAGAAAATCTGAAATGGCTTGAATTCACAATTTTGTTCACAATGCAAGAGTCCGTCACGTCATATTTCCCTGAGATGTCAAACAAAAACCAGACATGCAGGGATAACCAGCTGAATAACTGTCTGCAGGTGTGTTTCATGTTTTGAATTCACTATTGACAGTTAGAGGTTTTTGTAAATGTGAAAGCTGCATGTTTCCCGTCAGCAGCTGCAGTGCTGGTTCTACAAGCCCTGTGCTCATCACCTCATGTTATCACCATCTCAAATATCACTTACAAAAACACCCACTCTCATACAATCAAGTTTTTGATCATTTAAGTCTGCTTGATAAATATTTATGAGAATCCTAAGAGTATCCTAGGGAAACTATGAGAAACATTTTGTTTCAATAATATTGCATATACTGCATATATAGGTAAATTGGTCTGCCGTCTTATTGTTGCCACCAACTCAGTGAGGTCTGGTTTTGGGATAGAAACACCAACATGGACTGATCAGAGGAGAGGACACACAACATGAGGCAAACCTTTACTCAAACCTTTAGGTCATCACTTCACTTTTTGATACAATACATCTGAATCACTTCAAATGCTGCAATAAAAAAAAAAAACTAAAACTAAACTACAATAAGTTAATTCTCTTTTCCGACTGTGCCTCTTTGACCTCCACAAATGTCAAAGTTCCACAACACTTCTGAGTGTTGTTCAAGTTCAACCAAATTGTGTCAACAAGAATGTGTTTTGATACATTTAATATAAATACAAATATAAATACAAATCTATTGGTGCTGTGAAGATTGGGGGACAGACTTGCCTGCTGGTGTCCTCTCATGTTTGTAAGAGATCCATTATTTGTCCCAAAGCAGGAACATTTCAGTGTTGCATCACAAGTTATAGAACAGTAGGAATTAGGAGCACACAGCACAAGATAGTATGTACAAACTGTATGTATGTACGCTGATCGTGCATGTGCCTAACTTGCTCTGTACCGTTTACAGTTTCCTCAGTCGCTTTGGGGCATTTCTCACATCATTCTTCACATTTGCACAACTGTTGGTGCATTTCTCAGAACAATTAGTGCAAACTGCAAAACCTTGTGCATCACTTTCTCAAAATGAAAAGTTAATTCCTTAACAGCAAGTCTTCATGTCGATGAAATTGTCTGTGTCGTCAAAACACTATGTCCTAACAACATTGAGAATGAACAACAGTCAAATGTCATGTTTTCATTGTGAAAGTTTACTCTCTGTGTTTTCAATATAAAAAAGTCAGATCTCGGTGACACTTGGTGAGCAGTATACACTGTACAGCCGAAAACTACAGTAAAGTTAAACATGACTGTATTTAGAGAGGTAACTGAGTACAAGACACATATGTATGTACTGTATGTGTGTATGCGTGTACTTTATGTGTGTATGTATGTATGTATGTATACAGTTTGTGTGTATCTATGTATACTGTATGTATGTATGTCTGTGTACTGTATTTATTTCCCATATTTACTGCAAATGCTGTTTGCAATTCTACAGCATTGTGCAACTAAAATACAGTCTCTTACAGTATTTACGTAGCACAAACATACAAGAAATACAGTATCATTATAGTAAAACTCTGACAAATGTAAACAATATAACACACACCTCGAGAGATTTTCAGGAAAAAATAATAATAAAGGAATGTATGAAATTAGCTTGACTGATTGTGATTTTGAGAATTAGTTCAACAGTTTTGTTTGTGATGACCAAAGCGATGAAATTAGGACTATAGGTTTTATAGGGATTGACTATTTAGAAGTCATAAGTATGTTTCATTTTGACTGACAGGACAGAAGCAAATGATAATGTTATAAAACAGCAGAGAATTGTATGAAAGCAACTGATACATGAACAAAAGCATTTAAAATGTGTTCATAGGAATGAGAAACTGCTGCGATGATGTGCACCAATGACCCAATGTTGTGGAGGTTGAACTAATAGTTTTGAGAACTTTAAGTCTGAAGTGAAAAATGCACCAAAGCGACTGAGAAAAACTTCATAGATTGCTATTGAATTCGCGGTGCAACTCTCCGCCTGACCAGTAGAGGACACTCTACTGTACTACACTGTATCCCTCGTATATTATTCTTCCGGGTTCAGTGACAATGGCGTCCGAGAGAAACAGACTGTTGTTGTTGCTTGAGCTGAACAGCATAGACACTCTGATGCTCCTGATTCACAAACGGAGACAGGAGCGGCTGAGACGCGTCCGGAGGTGGTATGTGCGGCCTCCGCATGTACCGAGGCCGCGGGCATTAGACTGTGTCCCTGCCATTGGACGCTTAAAGGACATGGACGAAGAAACGCACTTCAAGTACTTTCTAATGTCGCCTGGTACATTTGACAAACTCTTAAAGCTCGTTCTGCCTCATATCAAGCATCAGGGCACCCACCGCATGCCCATCGAGGCCGCCCAGAGACTGGCTGTGACCATCCGAGTCTTGGCCTCCGGAGAAAACCAGCAGACTGTGGCTGCGAGCTTCAACCTGGGAGACAGCACTGTGTCTAGGATTGTGTCAAAGGTCTGCAAGGCGCTGTGGCTGGCTCTACAGCCAGAATATCTGCCATGCCCCTCAACCAGCCAGTGGAAAGACATAGCAGCTGATTTTTGGCGACTTTGGGACTTTCCAAACTGCGTTGGAAGCCTCTGTGCGAAACACGTCAACATTAAGACGCCGCCAGCTCACGCCTCGAGAGAACCGAAGGGATCGCTCTCTGTTCTCCTCATGGCCACATGTGATGCCAGGCACCGCTTCACCACGTTGGACGTGGCCGCTTACGGGCGAGATGGCGACAGCCAATCGAAGCTGCTCGGACAGACGCTGAACCTGCCTCCCCCCGCTGCTCTCCCCGGCACTGAGACTCTGATCCCCCACCTGATGGCTGCTGATGCTGCCTTCCCTCTACACAACAATATCATGTGTCCCTTCCCTGGTAAGTATCAAACCAGGTCTATTCTCCTTTGACAAAATGTAATATCTAACTCATGTGTTGTTAGTAATGATTTACTTTTGTAATATGTCTCTTTGAAGTACGATTACACTCAAAGTAATGCAGCAGTACTCACATTACATGCATACTCAATTCGTACTTATATATTTTCTTTGTTTTCCACTCACTAATACTTTGCATTTGTTCAGGAGAGAATTTGTGCAGAGAGAGGCAGACCTTCAACTACCGCCTGTCAAGAACCGTTCGGGTGATTGAAAATGCTTTTGGAGTCATGTCATCACGGTGGAGAATTCTTGGTAGGACAATGGAATTCATGCCGGACAAGTGTGTGGATGTGGTGAAGGCTTGTACTGTCCTCCACAATTACCTGACCGTTAATGATGAAGCAAACACACCGGAGATGCGCTACATACCGCCACATTTTCTGGACTCGGAGTCTGATGGACTGGTGCAGCCCGGCGAGTGGCGCAACGGTGTGGCTGACAATTCAAACCTGCAACCTTTACCACCTGCAGAGATGGATCCAGAGAGGACTACTTCAGAAGCTGTTTGTGTCAGAGATAAACTGACTAAGTTCTTTATGGAGCCAGCAGGAGCAGTACCGTGGCAGGGTGACATTGTGGCACACTTGGCAGTCGCTCAAGAACCAATTGATTTTATAGACTTCTAGAGAGGTGCCAGTGACCAAGGCAATGTTTACATTTTAAACCATAAAAGGAGAGATCACGACTATTTATATTTCAAATGTATTTAATATCAACCATGTACAAATTGCAAAATAAATGACCAAACCCTTTCAACCTTTAGTTGGGGTTTTATTAGTTATGAATGTTCATATTAAATATAATAAAGTACACATTACTCAAAGTGCATGTAAAACAAAAGGAAAAGTGAACTTCCAAAAAGTATGATGTGTTGTTTCTCTGGCTGTAACTAATGAAAATTGACAATTTAGCAATTCTTGTTTGATTACTCACCTAGTCCTAGATCAAGCTGAAGTGACCGGAGGACATAAAGAGATTGATGTTTTTTTAAATAGAAACACAATTCCTGATTCTTTTTGAATAAGTTACTAAAACTTGTTGAAAAAACAGCTCTAAAAACGTAACATAACATGCACTCTTTATCTTCAAGTCGAATAACTATTTGCAACATATCTCTGCATTTTGCCACAGTCTCTTAAGTTACAAGGTCGGGTTGGCCTTCTTTCGCTTTATACGTCCATGGAGCAGACAGTAGATCTCGTGCATAGTGTCATCCTGATCCTCTTCAGCAACTTTCCTCAACATATCACCTATCGTCTTTGTAAAGTGGGTGATGGCGTCCTCCGGTCCGCCTAACTCCGGCCGGCGCACTTCAGTCCTCTTGAGCTGCTTTAGGATCAACTGTCTGCTCTCCATCAACTCCTTCAACGCCTGTGAAAAGTCGTCCTCCTCCTGCACCCTCTGCCTTTTCTGCGCCCTGTGGGACACCGCGGACAGGGAGGGGGAAGGCGTATGTGCATTGAAGACTGGAGTGACCGCAGAGGGGAGAGCGATCATTGTGGTTATTGGAGAATTTACGGTAGAGGAAGACTGGAATGCAGGCAGAAGAGTGGCTACAGGCAAGGATGGACTTGGTGCGTAAGATGACTGGCACTCATCATCACAGTGCTCGGCTGGTCCATCTACAGGTCCTCCATGGTCACTCTCCCGCAAGTTCTGTTCATATGGTAAAGAAAACCAAAACATCAATCACATAACACTGACCTTAGTAACAATGAAATAAACTAGAACAACAATGTCGACAACAGACTGCATGGGCCAAAATATGGGTGAACAGCACTTTTTGCACAATCTGAGTGATTCTATCTATGCCAAATGCGTAGTAAAGTAAATTTCTCCATTGTAAGATTAATAAAGTTCATCTTATCATACTCTAACAGGGTTCACAGGGGTGCTGCTGATTGCATCTGTGTTTTTGGATCATACACAACAAAAGAATGGATTCTTATCCATTCTTTTGTTTCCAGTAGGCTGGATTACTGCAATGGCCTGCTCACAGGTATCTCCAAACATGCAGTAAAACAGCTGCAGTATATTCAAAATGCTGCAGCCCGAGTCCTGACTAGAACCAGGAAGTACGACCACATTAGTCCGGTCCTCAGGTCTCTGCACTGGCTTCCCGTGGCCCAGAGGATAGACTTTAAAGCAGCTCTCCTGGTGTACAAGTCTCTCCATGGCCTTGCACCAAAGTACATCCATGATATGCTAGTCCCATATGAACCAGCCCGGACTCTGAGGAGCGCAGGGACGGGACTCCTGTTAGTGCCCAGAGTCAGGACTAGACAGGGGGAGGCTGCTTTTCAGATTTATGCAGCTAAAGTCTGGAACAGTCTTCCTGAGGATGTGAGACTGGCTGCCTCTCTGTCGATGTTCAAATCCATGTTAAAGACTTTTCTTTTTTCCTGTGCATACAACTAGAGAATTTTATCGTTTTAACACACCTTGTTATTTATTGTTGTAACTTTGTGTTTTTAACTATTTTATTGTTTTTAATTACTTGTGTGATTCTTATGTTTTTAAATTACTTATGTGATTTTAATGCTTTTTAATTACATATGTGTTTTTAATTGTATTTTAATGGTGATGATTTGTGCATTGTGTGGTGTGGACTGTGAGGCGCTTTGTGTTGCCCTGTGCAGGAAAAGCGCCCTATAAATAAAGATTGATTGATTGATTGATCAGAAACTTGATTCGCTGCTGTTTGGTTGTGTTCATTTCCCCGGTTCTTAACTTTGGTCTCATCATAGACATTTATCATGACAGACAGGTCTCAGGCTATTGTACAGTTTGGCAACGCAAAGGTGATACATATTGTGGATAAGAGACACTTTATAACATGGATCAATACACTTGATCGTGAGCTCATGAAGCCAGACACTGAATACAGATATATAATTCATCCATGATACATTGTCAAAGGTACAATAGAGTGGGCGGAGCATCCAGGTCTCTCAGGAATTTCGATAATGAATGATTAAAGATTGAAAACGTGCTCGAAGATGGTGAGTAATGGCCATAAGATCTAACTACATTCTCGAGGTCGGACATCCGGGAACTTGGACTCCCATAATGCACTGCGCGCGCATAGCAACGCGGCGAAGGGTAAAACAAACCAGCGCCCGCCATTAAGCAACACGAAGCGAAAGACAAACGAGCGTTACAAAACATGCCGAAAAACTGTTGTATTGTTGGTTGTACCAACAACAGCGTAAAAAGGAGTGACCTATCCTTTTACATGATCCCTAGCGAGGCAACTGAGCCAGAAAGGAGAGAGAAATGGCTCCAGCTGGCTTGGAGCTACTCAGTGGGAATCTTTAGATTTTGTCACTTTGCTCCTTGAACAGGAAAGAAGAACAACAACCCCGCATACCCAGATTACACTCCGTCCATTTTCCCGCAAGCAGTGCTGAAGGAATTGACTAAGAGTACCACACTTGATCGCTTCAAGAGAGCACAGAAAAGAAAAGGTAAGTTTGCTACCCACAGCACCCTATCGTTAACAGAAAAAAACCCATCAAACTGTAGTGTGATCAACATGCATCTAGTTTGCTCCTAGATCAATGACCAAAAATTATCTGAATTTGTTTGACACAACACTTGAAATTTAAAACTAACAAATTGCAGTCGATTTTGTTTATGCAGACATATATATAGTAGCAAATTGTGTTTATTGCTCTTATTTTACACTGCAGTAAAACCGTACCTGCAGATAATGAGCTGCATTTCCAATGCACAGTTAAGAATTAAAAGATTCCATATTGCAATGAGGTTGTGTACAACAATTGATACAAGCACCTTGTGAAATAGAATGTTGTCCCCCATATGAAATACATAAATAAAAAATACATGTTGATTTCTAATGACCAATTTGAAAAAGTAGTACTTGGGAGGTTAACTGCTACAAAAATGGTAATCTGTGTAAAAATACAGATTTTGCTAACAAATGTATTTTCCTTGAAAACAAAATTACCTCCTGTATGAAAAAGTCATTGCATCTACAAAGTAACTAGTCATGCAGATTTTTGTACATAATGCCTAGCCTGGAAATTCTTGGTAAGATGGTATTTATAGTACAAAACTAGTCTACTGGTCGCTGCTTTCTAGTCATAGTCGACTATTATGACTTATCGTCCCAATCCAACTCAATACTAAATATACTGCCGTTTAGTAACACCAGGAAGCCGAGTGAGTGAGTGGTTGGTGGTGGTCGGAGGGGCCGATGGCGCAGACTGGTCGCCTCGCTTCAGTCAGTCTACCCCAGGGCAGCTGTGGCTATAATAGTTGCTTACCACCACCAAGTATGGAGTGAATGAATAGTGCAATGTTAAGCGTCTTTGAGTGTCCAGAAAAGCACTACATAAAACTGATGCATTATTATTATTATTATAAATATGAGGCCATGACTTAAAATTTCTGTGATCATTTGCAAAATATATACCTTTTATCTATTTTTTTCAGCACCATCCACTACTCTAGTATCACGAAAGGAAAGGAAGGTGAAGAAGCAACTGGAATTTGAGGAGACAAGTGTCCCAGAAGAGTTGCAACAAGAAGTGTCAACACCCTGCATGGAAATGCAAGACCTGCAGCAGACGGAATTAGGCATTGACAAAATCAGCAATGATTCGGTCTCCACCATCATAATACTAAATACACCTGAAACAAAAGAAAATGAAGAAAGGGAAATAATTTTATTTTTATACATTAACATATCACATCTAGGAGAGTGACAATTGACCAGAGCAAAAACACTGACAAATTGCAAGTAAATGATACAAATGTTTTCATGTCAATCTTCACGTCTTTTAGTATTTCTACTTATACAATGTCTAATAAACTATTTCTCATTAGAAATGTTAAAGTCTTGCTGTTGTCGTTAGACACTACATATATAATATAATAAAATGTAATCTGATGACTGGTTATTGCAAAAAATAACCGGTCATAAAAAGTGTGAATAGAGGGTATGCCATTTTACTTTAAAATTTAAATAGAAATGTAATCTCAAATGAATGGACACATTGAGGGGCAAATCAAAGAATAACAAAATAATACCAATGCCATGCCACTGTTTTCTGTTGCTATGTTATGACATCGCTATGCATAATGGTCGGCAGCTCTACACCGATAAGCAACAATGAAATGCACTAGTTGTGTGGGGAATAAGTGGAATTTCTGCAGTTAGCCTTTTTTGGCTTTTGAAAAAAACTGTGTCCCTCACTTACACTGTACAAGCTGTGCCACTGACAGACTGAGCTCATTACAGCCACATTGTAACAGAATGCTTTTGAATGTCATAACATAGTTAATGTTATCGATGCTTGATGGGTATTTAAATATTACTACAAGTGTAGGACACATGGTATGTACACATGGTGTTCATACCAGGGGACTTGATGAGGTAATTGTATATGTCTGGATACTCGAGCCTGGGCCATGCCTTTGGGTTGTTTTCCCAGGACTCTGCTGGATGCCGATAGGGACAAGATTGTAAACCTACAAGCGACAGCTTTCTGTGGTACCTTAGCCTGGCCTTTGCCATCCGTAAACTCCGGTCAAATCTTTTTTTCCCGGGATGTACCCTCTGTACGAAACAAGTACGAGGGTATGGTAAAACCAGGCTAGTGGTACCTGGTCAATGCAGGCGCTAGGAGACTGTCAATATACTGATATGACATGCTGCAATAGAAGAAGAAGATCTGTATTCATATAGTGCCTTTCACAGACATGTAGCTAGTCACAAAGCGCTTTACATGAGTGTTTAATCTCACATGTATGGAGTGAATGTAAACTAAAACTGGCGATTATAAGTGTAAAACTACAACTGAAAAAGGTGGTCCTGTTGTGGCTTAAGGTGCAAGAACAAGAGGAATGACATTTGCGTTAATAAAATAAGGTTTATCTGATATTTCCAACAACAGTTAGACATTTCTTTATTGTTACTATGACAACAGCTACAATGGAAATAGATAGGAATTTAGATTCCTGCCTCCAGCTAAGCAAGCCCTGAATGTTTACACCACCAACATACATTCGCATACACAGATATCATTCATCAATAATTCAAAGTTGTCCGTTAGTATCCATAACTGACATAATCCACGGCAAAACATATGTAAATAGATACCTTTTGGATTCGCCTTCGGTTTGTTTTACCCTTCAAACATGGCGGCGGTTGGTTGCTACGCAGGTCACATGATTCGTGACGTAACGCCGACCTCGAGAATTAATATAGCGCTGTGCATCGTCAGCCTCCACGATTTTAGGATTTAGGATTTTTTTCCGGATCACAAAGCCACGCCCACATTTATATTTCAGGTGCAAAACAAAACATGTAGCGCACGTGATAATCGACCATAATCGACTATAATCAACAAACAGCATTACCTTCACATCGCGGTGTCGTATATGAGGCGAGAGCCAGGAGAGGAACGCATACATCCCAGGGACGTTGTCAGCCCCCACAGTCCCTCCTGTGGTGGTGATCTTTCTTCGCACACGCACGAATTTGTCCCTGAGACCCCTCCACTTCTTGGTGCACTCAGGGACAGACCTGCCCAGTGCCTGTGAAATCTCCAACCACGAATTGCTGTTCAATTCCGCATCCTTGTAGCTCTTCAAAGACGTGTCGTAGAGGTTCTGGTATTTGCGCACTTCTTCAGCGAGTCTCTTTTCAAAGGGGCTCATTGCAAATTCGTATGAAAATGCTTTTCGGGAATTTAAGATGGCGATGGATGAGAAAACAGCAAAACAGCAGTTTACAAGCCGGAAGTGAGACCGGAAATGATGTTTCCAGGGGACGTGATCAGGATTGCAACCTGCGGATGTGTTATAACGACATTTAAATGATGTGCATTACATACATATACACCCACAGTCTCAGATATGTTAGACATCTTACTTTTGAAAAGTAGAAAAGTGTCGACTAAACCATGGATCTATTATAATAACGGACTAAACATCTAAACCCGAGACTGTCACTGGTCTGAGGATTTAAACAGTTACACAGTAGTAGACACATTTGCTGTTAATGTAGATCACAAGGATCATCAGCTGGTTCATTCTATGCAGGTCCAAATCAAACACTTTCAAAAGAAAGGCAGAAAGACTAACATTTTCAGATTCATAATTTATTTCCAACTTTGTCATTGCACAAAAATACACATTTAAAGTTGAGCAGCTGATGAGTTGACAATAGTGAAGCCTGTAATGGTTGTTCATATATTTCTAAAAAAAAAAACAATTAAAAGGAAAGGAGGCAACCCTTAAAGCAAATAATTTAGCAAGTGCAAGTTGATTCAGAAACACATAAAACAATCTTTTGCATGATGTTTTTACATTGCTTAGATAAATGTACAAGTTCAAAAGTTATTGTTGGGTTTTTCAAAAGTAGAATTATGATTATCCTCTGCCCAAATGTAAGAGAAATAGTTTTTATAAAAAAAATATATCAAGCAAAGTTATTTACAAATCTTGTAAAATTGGATAAAACAAAATCCTCCATTACTAACGCAGTTCATATTCGATCCACCAGGGGACACTGTTGATATAATCTCGTCCCATTGAGAGCGTGATAAAACAAACAAAAACCATAATGCTTTTTTCATTTTCCCCAAACACCTGATGCACTTAGAAACTCTCTGGTGCAGTGTGGAGTGATTCCTAACTATAGCACCTGTGGATCATTGTGATGTATTTCTAACATTTTAAATCCAAATAACAAAGAAATAAAGGAAATAGCCCAAAGTTTTAATTCCATTTCACTAATCCTGTAGTGTCCTGTATAAGACTTCCACCTACCACCCATACAAATCTGCTTTTGGGGACTGAAGTTTTAGATCAAGATCATGTGATGTAGTGAGGGAAATATAAACAACAACAAAAATCACACAGACACATTATGTCTCTATAAAAACAAGCTCAAACATTACATTGCTGCCTACACTTCTCCCAAAGCTTCCTGCAGCTCTCCCCGGACAGCGTTCAGTTCTATGATGCAGTCGTTGAGGATATTGGCCACGTCTTTGATCTGGGCCACGATCTCCTTCTTGCAGCCCTTTTTGAGATCGCGTGAGCCCTCCTTCACAAAGTACTTGTCCATCCCCTGGAACAAGCCTTTCACCGCGGACACGGCCGAGTCAATCAAGTCTGTGGCCTTCATGACCGGGGAGTCCACCAGGCTGATCATCTGCACCGCCCTGCGCACCTCCCAGTCCTGACGAGACCAACCGTTTGTGCACACTTTAGCAACTTTGTTATCATTCAACAGTCTTCAAATTCTTTATATAGTTTGTTATTTTTGTTAACATTTTCTTTTCGTTTTCAGTAGTGTGGTGCTTTTCTGGGTTACCTGAGAATAGTGCTGGGTGCCAGAGCGGAGGAAGGGGTGTCCTCTCAGTTTGTACAGACCCGTGTTGGAGAAGTGCAGGATCTTTGACAGCTCCACCAGATGAACCTCGTTTTCAAGCAGCACCGCCTCCACCTGAACACAGAAACCACATCAACTGAAGTAGTTCTTTGATCTTCAGGATAGCCCCTTGAGATGAACCGGTGTCTCTAAGTTTCATCTCTTCAAGAGGGTCCTAACAATTTCTTCTTACTTCATTATATTCATTATAGGTGCTCATGAGGATATTCATACATTTTCTACTCCTGATGAGTGGTTTGGGGGAAACCATTAGCAGCCATTCATACTGGGAGTCAAGCCTAAAATCCCCTGAACCATTTGGGTGTTCATTTTAGAATTTTTTTTCTAGTAATAGTAAGCACAATGATGGAGTAGGATTTTATTATTACTAAATTATGTTGGTAAAAATTGTATGTGAAATTGTGAGCAAAACTGTTCTCCTCCAGCATTGAATTCTAAGTATTAATTAAATGGTTTGCAACTTTTTTTTGGCTCAACAGAAGATCTATAAGTACCTCCGTATTTCACAGTCTTTCAAACCTGGCGCTCCCTCACCTTCTTCCTGTCGTTTGAGTTGTTGACGTTATCTGAAATGGCCGCAGATGCTGTTGTAATCCCTCCGGCTGTGGCCACGCCCACTCCCACCGCAGTGATGACCAACGAAACTCCAAGCGTGACCGGTGCCAGAGCCAGACCTGCGATGGCAGCCACTCCCCCGATCGCCGTGGTGGTGCCCCCCGTGATGCCTGACAACACAGATGATACAAGCTAAGAACAACATACACGCAATGGTTTGATGAAGAAACAATACATGATTAAAAAAGGCCTAATTTGCTTTTGTCCTTGATCTAAATGTTCTACTTTTATCTCAATAGTTCTCTCTCGTCTCACCATCTCATCGCTGTGTCTACAAAAGCTGATCTTACCTGCGATCCGTGCTTTGCTGTGGAAGGTGCTGATGTCGTCTGCGATGGTGTGAAGAGTGATCACAGACTGCCACAGAACCTCCGCTCGCTCCACAAACACTTTGTTGAAGAGACGGAGGCCGCGGTCCACTTTGTCTGCCAGCCCCGAGAAAGACCTGAGGCAGACCAGCAGTCAGCCCACCAATCACAGCTACTCAGTGAAGTAAGTAATAAGGCCCGACACGGTAATCCACTTTGAGTCACCATATGTTGCCCCTGAAAACTTTTGTGATTAACAATACTATTAAAACTACTGTTTATCACTGATGTAAGTAATACACCAGGACAATCCCAGTAACGCAATTTACTGAGTGATATTTAATCATGTTGAACCATCTACAGATACAACTTCATAATATTACAGAGAAAATCGTACATATCTCTCTACAGATGATCAATATTGTGGCCCAATATAATGTTTTATACATCTGCTATCCTCATATGTCATCACCTCATTTCCCTCACAAGTTAAAGCTGGGGAACCTTACTTTCAGACCAAAACTAATGGAAATATATAATAAAATCATTCTAACTAGTTTTCAGATCTCCAAACAGTTGGGATCGATCATTAGTTTCCTCATTCATGCACTTTTTACTGTATTATATAAAATCTTAAGATCAGCATTTTCAGACAGATAAGGGAGGACCTTGGGGATGGAGATCTTTCTTACAGGTTTAAAAATTATAAAAACAGTGTGTTGTGGTTAAAAAAAAAAAGTTTTCTTTCTCGTGAGACAAACTAAATGTTTTATGTAAGAAAAAAAAAGTAACAACCCCAGCTTTAAATGGATGCTTGATCCATTATTTCCATACTTTGACTCGTCTTGCTGTAAAGCAGTTTCCTCTTCGTCTGACGGCACCTCGTCCCATTCTGAAACAACAGAAGTCCAAATGTCAAATGTGTGCAGTGAAAATCATTGTAATAATTGTATTGATACGACTTACGTTCCACAGTGTTCCACCATTCCATCAAACTGTCCGTGTCCTGGGACCAAAAGTAATGTTATTAATTCAAGTTTTTAGTGAAGACTTGCATGCGATTTTTGCTTGTCCACACTGACCCAGTCTTCATCTCCATCTTCATAAGCCTCCATTGTGAGTCTGTCCTTTTCAGCCGCCATGAGCTCCGCCTGAATAAAAATAGAATAGACTTCTTTGCTTCAAGCATAATGATCTTTTATCCAACGTCAAAGATTACTTTTGGATTCAAAACATCCCCAACACATCCAATATTTTAACTTAATTGCATTTATCCGTTTGACATATAGCTGGTATAATCACAGTTCAGTCAGCCACAAACATGGTTGTAGGTGACGAAATACCTGCAAGAATGTAATAATAGGACAACAGGGATGAGGCACTTGCGGCTCACAACTGACATCAGCCAAAACACTGCTAATGAGTCCGTCCAGCTTTCTGCCTCTGGCTGCAGCTTTGACCTCAGTGACGTGGACTAGTGTTCTTAGAATAAAGGAATTGAAAAATAACTCACTCGCAAATAAGTTGCGAAGGATACATTTTGCTTGTTTAAACCATGACCTAAGATTACCAAACTAACGTACTACTTATATACAATATTATACAATAGTCTCATGTTTGTTCTGAAAGTAGAACTTTGTATCTGTGGAATGTGGCTGAACCAGTGTTTGATAATGCCAAATACTGATAACGCCAGCATAAAAACAATGAACTAATGCACATGTGACAGTGATTGTGAAAGCAGAAAAGTCAGCTCGTCTTCCCACGTTATGTGCTTATTTACTTCACTTCTTTGTCACTGTAATCTTGTCAGAACAAGTGCCATTATTCACTGAACATTATAATAATGGCACAATAAAGATCCTAAAGATACAGTAGCCGTTCATGACAATTGTAGTAGAGCTCCATGGCTTTGACTAAATGTCAATATTTTTATGACAACATTACAATCAGGGGCGACAGTGGCTCAGTTGGTAGAGCATTGGCCTTTGAGCCTGAAGGACGTGGGTTCGAGCCCACCATGACACCTTCTCCACCGACTCCCACTGATGACTGCTGCCGTTGTGTCCTTGGGCAAGACACTTAACCCCACTTTGCCTGAAGCCCCTGCTGAATATTTAAGGCTCCTGTGGACTCACCACTTGCAGGAGGATCAGTGAGGGGCTGGTGCTAAGTGTACTGGGTGCAGCTCTGACTGACACCCCCCCGACCCAGAAATGGATTAAGGGGAAGAAAATGGATGGATGGAACATTACAATCAGATTTGCAATTCTATGTTTTTTTATATGGAATTTTGATCAATGGCATCAATGGAAAAATAAAAGACCAGGAACAGAAACGTTTGTGATGCACATTTCTACACATGCTACATTTCAGAACATGCATTAAATATTTGTTCCCAGATCATTTTGACCCGAGGGTAGTTCAAGGGTTAAAAGTATTGCAGCTCTGACCTTCGCTGCCTCTGACATGTAGTCTGCAGATGCGGCTCCTGGAGGATCTTTGTTCTGCATTTTTGGGGATTTGCCCTGAAATAGGGTAAACAACAAATATTTGACCACAAAACAAAGACTGCATTTCAAAACCTGGGTGTGATGGAGACTCACCTTTAGTTTTGACTTGAGTTTTGACTTGAGTTTGAACGTCTTTTTCTGTGAACACACGATTACCGTTTTAGATCAGCAAAAAAATAAAAATAAAACATGGGTCAATCATTTGTGATTTTTCCTCAGAATTATCTGAGTCAAAAAAACCTCTTGTTAGCCTTTTTTAAGTCTAAATATATTAAATTAAATTAAAATGTGTTTACAAAGGATTTGTAATCAAACAACCAAATATAAGTCATCTCTATGAAGATTTTCTTCATAGCTTTGTTTTGGTCAAATATATTACAAATCTCACAATTTCTGATCTTTGTGCGTCTAAACTAATAGATTAACCAAAAGAATAATCAGTGTGTAATTGTTAATTACTGCCCTGGTGTAATCTTTCTCCTCTCGATTTAAGGACCGACCCTCATCTCGGTTAATTGGTCTCAGTGTCAATAATCTGACGTATGATCAGGTGTGGGGAGTAATGTTTCACCGGTTCAGAGACGTCGTCCTCTTCTGTGTGGTACATTTCTTTCTGTTTTGCTTTTAATGCATCAATGTCTTCATATTCAAATTCACCCTGTTTGGAGAATATACATTTTGTCAAAAATTATTCTGATTAATGTTAATGAGAGGATTTTAGACATTTTCTTCTTGTCATGAGATTTACTTGATGAACTACTTTCCTTATTGCATTAACAAGTGGCTTATTGACAGGGATACAGTTTATAATCCATGTTACTCCAGTTGCTCATTACCACTAAAGTTTTAATATGGCCATATCTGCTAGTTGTTTCTCAGAAGTTAAGCAGTGTGGGTCCAGAGTAGTACTATGATGGAAGACCACTGTACTGTGGTGGGAGGGGTGAGGGTTTGAAGGCCTGCCCATAGCCAAGACACTTCATCCTCAGTGTCTAGTAAGAATCTGGTGTGTGAATGAATGAGAGTCTTATCACCAAATCCAAAATGCAGCTGTGTGTTTTTTGTCAATGTGGCCAGATTACAAATGAATGAATTAGTCTTCAAAACATCAGTACTACAAACATACATTTAAGTCCTGCTGTGAGGAGCGGAACTGTCCCATCTGCTCTGGAGAAGAGTGGTCCAACTTGTTTTTACGTGGAAGGAGCAGAGGTTTGTGTTTAGATGATTTCTGAAACAAGAAAAAAGATTATTTCACACCAAGCCACTAAGAACGATAATGTTAAATAATATTAGGGGTAGTTTATTGATTTAAAATGTACAGTCGCATTAAAAAGATGGCAGCACTAGATTTAGAAAACAAACAAACATGCACAGTAAATTAAATCAGGAGCAAACATATTAAGTTTAATATACATGTACTATCAATAAAACATAACATTAAGAGCAGCAGTAAGGTGCAACAGTTTGTCATTTAAATAAAACAAATATAGTTTAAATGATGAATCATATACAAAACACTTCTAGGGCCACCGCTGCCCTGGGGCTGACAACCATCACATCTATAAACATAAACATTGTGATCGTATAAATTACCCCTTTCAGCTTTTCCGTTTCCCACGCTTCATATCCACCAGTGGGTGATTTCTCTGCAAAGTCATCGTCCATATAAGCCGCCTGGGAAAATAATCCACCATTTAAGCTTGACTCTCACAAGTGCAGGTATTAATGTAGAGAAATGTCACCTTGTTAGATGATTGGAGACTTTGGCTTTTCATTTGCTTTTCCAATCCATCATCCTTGAACACATCATAGAAATAAACTTGTATAAAAAGTACTATGAGTCTAGAGTATTATTTTATACAGTATTATGTGGCAGTTAAAAGGTGCCTTTAACTCAATATCTAACAATGTTTATCCAATATTTACTGGATCTACCTCAAATAAAAAATATCCCAAAATGTTTACAGAGATGTAAAATTGTCCTTGTCATAAAATACCTGGGACTTGTTCTGTGTGGAGTAGTTTGTATGTGCAAACAGATCCTCCTGAAGAAAAATTCACAACCATAAAAAGTTCATCATTGTGAACATTTACAAAATAATCCAATAATTTTGTCTATTCCAATTTAATTTGATTAAACATGAAGCTTGTAGAACCATGTCAAATTCCATTCAGTTTGGCATTACTGGATGAACTCATTTCAAATAAGGATCCACTGGCAAATAACCATGTAATATAGATCCTATTGAGACACGGGCAGCCGATGCATTTAAAAGCACATGAAAGCACTTTGAGAGTCCAAATAGGCACTATATAAAATCAATGTATTATTTCATTATAATACACATTATAATCTCGTACCTTTGAGCCTTTTGTTGGTGTGAATCCATGAGCGCCTTTTTGTTCATCCTAAAGAAAATTATTCAAATGTATATTATTATAAATAAAGACCGATAAATGGACCTTTTCCGTAAACTGATTGTACCTTGTGAAAGACTAATCCTTTGTTTGTGAATTTTAAGCTCTTTAACTTCCTGGTTTTCTTCTGAAACATGAGAAGGTTTATGTCACATGAAGTGGATTATTTAACAGGAAAATATGAATGAAAAAAAATCTCTAGTATATTCACATATTCAACGTCGTCCCCACTTTCCCCGGAGTTTCCGTCCAACGTGGCTCCCTGTCAATCAAATATTAAGTTACACAAGGCATCATTAAAGGCAGCATTAAAGATACAACATGCTTTTTTGGCATTACAAAAAAAAAATCTAAGTAAGTAAGTAAGTAAGTAAGCTTTATTTATATACCGCCTTTCACAGACCAGAGTCACAAAGCGGTTTACAATTGTTATTATTTTTTGGGCACTTGTCCTCTCACTCCACACAGAGATGGGAGCAGGGTCGCCGAACAGGAGGCGCATGCCAGACCTATTGTACATATTTTTAGTGGTAGGGGAAACCGGAGTACCCGGAGGAAACCTACGCAGACACGGGGAGAACATGCAAACTCCACTCAGAAAGGCCCTGGTCCGGCCGGGATTCGAACCCAGGACCTTCTTGCTGAGAGGCGAGAGTGCTATCCACTCAGCCACCGTGCCGCCACCGTGCTACCTTATCCTTATCTCAAGAGACTAGTCCGCACACTTCTGTTTTCAGTCCCACCATTCGCCACTTTTTTGTACATAATGTATCCTGCATTAACATGCTGCACATTTCTTACTTTTGCACAATTCTTGTGTTCCTATCCTTGCCAATGTGACATGTAAATTTCTCTTGTGTGAGATTAATAAAGTCTTATCTTATCTTATCTTAACACTCTGCCCTTTGAGAGTTCACATGTTTGTTTCATTTGAGCAAAAATAAGTGGTCGTGTCAAGGGAGGCATAAGGTCTTGGATGGAAGAGAATGTAAATGACCTGAGCATGAATCCCCCAAAAGCATCTTTGGGTTTGCAAATGAAACGTTTAAATTACCTCAGAGAAGCGTCGGAGTGGGTCTTTTTTGCTCTTCTTTAAGTCCAGATCCTGTTGAGAAATGATCAAACATCAGGTTCTTAAAGTAAAGTTTAATATCCAATTGTTTCCGTCTTAGACTGCGTTACCTTGGATTCATGAGGCACATTTCCGTTTGTGCGTTTTTGGTCTGAGAAAGAAGCTTCAGCTGACGATCGCCTCATAAAACTGCTCACCTTGTTTTTGAAATGAGGCTTCTGAAATGCAAACATTAGAAGAATGAGAAGTTTTTAGTAGTTTTCTTTTTCTCTTTCAATTGCATCCATGTTGCTGAAAACATGTTTTAAGAATTGAAAAGATGGTCACTTAGTTACAAGGAAATGTTAGAGGGAATTATATTAATAATTATATATCTAATTATATTAGAGGGGATTATTTTATTGTTAGTATTTAAATCACTGCACGACCTGGCTCCGTCATATCTCACTGATTTGCTACTTTACACACTCCGGGAAGACCTCTGAGGTCCTCTGACCAGCTTCTTCTGCACTGTCCCAGGTCTAGACTAAAGACCAGAGGAGACCGAGCATTATCTGTGGCAGGGCCCAAACTCTGGAACGCTCTTCCTCATTGTGTCCAAGCTGCCCCCACTGTAGAGAGCTCTAAATCACAGCTGAAGACACATTTATTTGCTTTATCTTGGGGTTTAATTTTTTGATGATGTCACGGTGGTGCAGTGGATCAGTGGAAAAGAGCAGCACTGCTCCTGATTGGCTCTTTGGTGGCTAGTTTTTAGCTATGCATCTTTTGCTCCAGAATCCGGCCCATGGAGCCTGTTTTATTTATCTCAAAATGGGTTTCTATGCACTAAACACTGCAGATGATGTTAGTCCACTCCATGGTCTATGGTCCCCTTTAAACTTCTATTGAGCTTCAGTCCTTTACCCTGTAGTCCAGCGATTGATCAGGATCTTCCTTTTCGTCTTTCTTGAATTCTTGGGAAGAATAAGGGCTGTCTGTGTAATATTCCTGTAGATACCAATTTAGAAATATCATTATAACATGACCCCAGTGAAGCTTCTAAAAAGTAAAACATTTTCAAATATATTACTCTGGATGATTTCCGAGATGCCGAGTGTGTCCTGCTTCTTCCTGTGCATTCATCTGAAAACCGCTCCTAGAAAATAAATCATTATCATATATTAATAATAATCTAAGCTAATACTATTTATAGAGGGAGAAAAGCACTGTACAGAGTAATATTTCTAGTTTTGCAAAGACACAATCTCTACAAAAGCGTTCTTTAGGTCAGATCTAGCTTCTGCTACTTTCCGTCTGTTCGTGGCGAGAGCATTTGTGGATGTGATTAACATTTGTTTACCTTCGAGTCTCGTCTCGGTGTCAGAGACATTCTGTGCTTTTCCTTTTTCTGCAAAACATTTTGTAAGTCAAAGTTTTCCTCAATAATAAAAACACAAACTGTCTGTTTTTCACTCTTGTACCTTTTTGCTGCTCCCAGATCCTTCAAGATCTTCAGTTTCAAAGTCTGTTTTGGCCTGAAGCAAAGAAGTAACATTAAATATATGATGAAACTCAAAAGGTGAAGGGAGATACCTGACTTTATAAGTTTATCTAAGTTATGTCATTCCACCTCTCATCGATTGTAGTCTTAAAGGGAAATGTTCTGATATAAAATATGAATTTAGTGGAATTCTACATCATTGTAATGAATTACATTGAATCTTTGATGTCCCTCATTAAAATGTACAGGTACTGTGCATCTCAAAGGACAAATACATCTATCCATCCATTTCATTTCATTTATTAATTCTTTAATTCAGGGTTTAAAATGCAAAGAGAAATTCATCTGCATTGAAAATGTGAAATGATCTTATAAAAAAGACGAGCTTTTACCATCAGTGACTCTCTGCGTAGTCTCAAAGTTCCCCGCTGCAAAAAGAACATTTAAGTGTAAATGTCCATGGGTAAAACAAGTTTAAAACTTTGTTACATAAAAAAAAAAAAAAAAAAAAAACAATGTTGAAATTTACTGGTTTGAAGTTGGGTTGGACCTCAGGACTGTCCTCGGGCCAGTCTTCAACACACTGCTCCTGTTCAGCATTAAAACAGAGGTTCAGTGTCTTTCATCATTGTTCTATGTAAACCTCCATAAAGGACATGCATCAAGCGAGTCTCACATCCTCAAAGACAGACCTGTTGTGATTTTTTTGCTTGTTTTCCTGTAGAGTAATAACTCTTAGGCATTTTATGGCGTGTTTTTGTATCTAGTGAAGGAATCTACTTTTGTATTTTAGTAGTTTTTAATTTTTTAATTAGTTAGTTTTATGTTATGAGGTAAATGTTTTAATAAAGATTATACAATATTTTGTACAAAACGTGTCTTTAAAATGTGCTGCTGATTGGTCATCTTTTACACACAGTCAAATCGACCAAATAATACACAAGACCTTGTTAAGGAGTCAACAACCATACTTTATCATATCACATTTATTATCATAACCTTTATCATTTCCCCCATTAAAGGTTAATGGTTTGTTTCAAAGCAGAATACTATGTTCCAACACTGACCTGGCCAATGAGAAGGATGTCCTCATAAACCACGTAGTTCTCAGGATTCGCCGCTCGATCCTGTGGAATATGAAATAGTAACTTTACATAGAATAAAATTTAGTCTTTGTCACAGCTTTGTCCACAAGGAGTGATTCTGTGCATTTCGCTTTCAAGGAAAATGCAGCTTTCAAAACATAATCATTGCACAAAGGTTATCAGGGAAGACAAGACACATAACCACAGCAGAGAAACTCATCAAATACAACGCTGGGCTTCCATGAATAGTCAAATGTTACCTCCACTAATAAATATTTCATGGAGAGTTTTGCACCATACAAACACCACTCTCAGTAGGGCTTGAGTAAAGGGTCTATAAAAGTAATCTCTTACATTGTCTTTCTGTTTGCGTCGGATCAATGGTTTTTGCAGCAGATTGAAGGACGGTTTGGGAGACAGTTTTGGAGTCGGTGGTTTTGGAGGAATTTTCAAAGGCTCTGGAGACGCCACCGCTTCTGGAACATTCTACAACAAAACAAAAGAATAAATAAGCAGATTCATATATTTTGTAATAAACTGTAATTTACAGAGCATTACTATAAGCCATAATACTTATAGTACTACACAACAGCTGATGGGAATCTCTGAGGATAATTACTATTAATAACAAGTCCTACTATCCTTAATCCCTGTATTAATAACATACATGTACTTTCAAGTATGTGTGTGTCTGTCTAAAGCCTTATGTAAATTTGCTTTACTGTATGTAATTTGGTTCTTTTTGGAGGACCTCCTCAAAACTAGATTGTTCATCTCTAGGGGCTTATTCCCACTAATAAAATGTAAACCCAGTATTGGCAATGTTTTTTTCCAGTGTATTTTTGTCTTTAATATAAATAGCAACACCAAAACAATGAAACAACTGCCATTAAGAGCTCACGGCTGGTGTTGAACAAGTGAGTGTATACGTAGATAATCCAAACGAATCCAAATGCCTAGAATTCAAGAGCTAGTTTTACTTAGTTTCTTATACCTTGTACTTTATTGCATTTGCTCATCTCATCCCAGTAATGAGCCGGTTTTATGTATGTAGCAGAGATCTGAGTAGATCCAGTGCAGTTGTGCTCAAGCAATATGGGTAAATTGATTGAATTGTATTGACCCGGACATTTATCTGACCCGTCCTCCATGTAAACACACCGAGCAGGTTAAGTAGAGATGCGTGTGCTTTCGGTGCCTGCTGAAGTGCGAGTTACCGTTGAGGCGAGAGAAGGAGGCGAGGGCCTCTGTGGTTTGGCAGGTTTCTCTGGAGGAGTGGGAGCTTTAGGGCTAGAAAGCGTCCTGGAGCGCCTGATCCGGGGCAGAGGTTTAGGAGGACGTCTGAAGGTCGACACCTGCAGACAAAGCCACCATGTAAACACTTTGAAATTGACAATTTTCTAGTCTTAAGTTATGACTTAAGATTATTTGATTCAAAGAAAGTTTGAACCCCCCCTCCAAATCACAAGGATATACAAAGCCTGCCTAACCCAATATTTTTCTACAGCAGACATATTTCTGTTTTTCTCAGCAACACTGTAAACCTGTAATTGTTTTAGAATTAATCTATTCTACAGTGTTATTTAGATGAGTCCACAGCCTCTTCAGCCTGCCCAGAGACTACATGTGTAAATGACCATCTAATGGTGCAATGGAGATTTCCTTTTTGGTCAATATATGTATGCTTAAGTTTGTTCAAACCATACCATGCCAATTGAAGTTAAACATCTATATTTTTCAGTCCCTACACGAGTAAGTGTATAAGAAGCTTCCTAACGCCAAAGTATCGGCATGGATACAGACTGTATACAGTAAGTAGGATAAGGCCGTATACAGTCTGTATCACAATGAGCGACCTATTTGGGCCTAATGATCATGGGTCCGAACCCACCCGTGAGACCTACTCCATCAATTCCTACTGAAGTCTGCTGTTGTTGTGTCCTTGGGCAAGACACTTAACCAAACTTAGCCTGAAGTGCCCACTAAAATACCAAGGTTGTGTCATGTGACGGAGAAGCCATCCTCCCCGACCCAGAAATGGATTAAGGGGTTGAAGATGAAATGACATCACATACGTACATGCGTGAGTTTGGGTGTATGGCTGGGCGACGCACACAGGCTGCCAGCCTGCACCAGCGGAGTGGGCTGCATGACGCTGTGCTGGGACCCCTGTGGCGTGGTCAGGACGATCTCTGTGGGTTTATCCGCTGACACGGTGGAGTCTTTGGGAGAGCTGACAGGAGGCCGCGGTCTGGGAGGCCTTGCTTTGACTGCCGGTACTTTGGGCGAACTGAAAACATCCGACGTGTCCAAAGAAGCATCTTGAAACGGGTCGGAAAACCTCAAAGGAGAGTCCCCAAATGGATCTTCAATGCTGGAGAAGTCGATATTCCGAGTGACGGGACTTGGAAATGGATCCAGGCTGCTTGAACCGGTAAGCGGAGAAAAAATATCCAATTCCTCATTTGAATTTGTGACGGTGACATGTTTGCTTTGGACTAACGCAGGCGATTGGTTTTCCTTATCATAATTAGAAGAGTGAAACGGGTTTGTGCTCGGTTTTGGTGGAAGAAAATTGTCAGTTTTAATAGATGGATTGACTTCCTCTGTCCGACTTTCAACAAAAAAATCCTCCATGGCTGTTTTGCTGCCATTGCGCAAAGACTGATTAGCTCCAAATAAATCAGGCGAAAAGAGAGGTGCGTCATGTGATTTCGAAGAGGATTCCGTTTTTTGGAAAATGTTTGTATCCATAGGCGAGCTCTGAAATTCAGGTGGAGAGACAAAAGCAGAGGCAGAGTTCACACGCTCTGTAGAGTTGTCCTCCGAGTGATTGGTGCTTTCCTGCAAGGACAAAAAATACAAAACGTTTCAGTCAATCATCCAACTAGCCTCCAGAAGCTATAATACATGAGCCAACACATTTGCCAGTAAAATTATGTGTGTATCCTTTTTTTTCCGGGGAGAGATACAAAATTGTTTTTTTATTACGTAATTTAGATCAAATGATATTTGAAAGTACTAAATATACATTTAGTACTTTCAAATATCATTTGATCTAAATAAGATAAATAATGAGTCATGATTATAATTTTACATAAATTGTGAATATATCAATCATGGTCAGATGATGTTAAATAATTAAATCATCATAAAATCTTTCGACATCTTTTTGAATACTACCACATCTCGACACCTTTATGAAAAATAAATCCGGAAGACCATAGTTTAGATTTACTGACAAATAAAATGTCAAACTTTACTTTTACGATCTATTTGTTCCATGGTGAAATGTTCCAGGAATTACATAGAATGTCGCTCTGAACAAAGAATACAGGAAGTACGAGAAGCCCAACTGCCCCAGTTTTGGAATGTCACATGACCACAGCCTAGAGTAAACCAGCACATGAGCAACAAACCACTGTTTATTTGCAACTAAACAAAAATCAAATCTAAATTGTCCAGAGAAAGCCCCCATCGTCCGGCCTCACACTCTACATTTAGCAACATTTATGAACTTTGGTCATCCCACTCCTAAATGTTTGTTATTATTGCATTTCCTGTTTTCAATTCCTGACTTGATTCTTTGTGAAGTCCTCCGAGGTGACTTCTGTTGTGAATTAGGTGTATACAAAAATACATTTAATATTTATATTCTTTGCAAAACAGCAAAAGAAATCATGAATTGTGTCTGGGAATGTAAAGGTTGTAGCACCACTGTACAGCATACAGTCACTCACCAGGTAGTAGGAGTAAAAAGGGTTGGTCGACGGCTTGTGAACTCCATTCTGCCAAAAGAGCGAGATTTATTTTCTCCACATGACCGACTCAACAAACAGGCTTTTCAAAACAGATGCAACACGGTGTGACGCAGCTCATACCACAAACAGCTGCTGAGGCCATTCATAAATATATGCCAGTGTCATGATGATGAGCTTAAAAGCCAAAAAGACAACAAGGGTGCGTTCCGTTTTACCTGTTGTGAGGTAGGTCGAGGGTTATCTCTGCTTCGCAACCCGCTCTGAGGACGCAACACAACAGGTTCAATGGGATATTTTTGAATGGAATATTTTGACACACATAAACTAAATAATAATTCTAAACTGATATGAAAACAATGTCTAATATAATCCAAATTTGAAGCCCAGAGGTTAAACTTGTCCATAATCTAGTATTGTCATGTTATTCAATTTCAAACAATATTTTAGATACAAGAGAAAATCCTCTAAAGCAATATCAACACCACAGGTTTTATTTAGAAATGCTATTTTTGTACACAGAACTCATAACAACACTCAAATAGATTTTGTATTGATTTAAAAATGCTTAAAATAATTATTTATTTTATTCTTATTGTAATTTTACTTAGTAACTAAAATATAATTTCAATATTAGTTTTATCATTGATTAAAATCTGATCTTCTTTACTTTTGACAATCCTGCAAAAAACAAACTCAAAATCCAAGAAAACATTTTATTCAATAGAGTTTTTGTGTATTTGGGGTGTCTTAAATCATATGCTGGTTTTACATACTACTTTTCTTCAAAAACAGCTCCTGATTGGGGTGAAACTATTATTTACAGCATTTAAAAGTAAACATATCATGCACACTTCAAGCTTTTTCTCCAGCCCTTGTTTATGGATAATCCTACAGTAGAATGTGTTTTTGACCGAGTTTGCCTGAAGAACAACTGAACTGAATTGACCATGTGTGAAAATCTGTCCTGCTGATCGCCGTTTGCGGACGCTGACGTATCAAGCATCTGTGGAGACAAAAGCCCAGATAAACCCAGTCATCACAGACAAGGTGTGGGGGAAAAACACAATCTCGGCTTTATAAATAGTTCCAATGCAATTTTAGCAATTGTTTATACTTGTTTACACTAAAGGCAATGTAAGAGGCGAAAAGCAGACCAATTGTTTACGTTCCACTCAAAGGCATTAAACACACTTACCCATATAGTATTCAATTACAGTCGTTAATAGCCCAAACTTTATTATTACCGTAGAAATATTAGTTGTTATTTATAGCAGGAACACTAAAATGCAAGAAGGCGTTTGAATAGATCCAGATAATTGAGAGGACCATGCTTGGTAAAGGTAACATTCTATTATTAATATGTGAGAGTGTAAAAGAGCATGTCTGAATCATCTCCATGGTGATGTGATTGTTTTTTGATTGGAAATACCATAAAACAAAGGTCAGCCGTAGATCATATACAGAATCGGGACGGAAGCAGAAGTAAATATAATAAAACTACCTATTTATGCCTAAACTTGACCAGCCATTCCCATAAAATAACCCCAACCCAGCCTCAATCTTAACCAGCTTACTCAGACACCTAAAACTTAACCAGTCACCACTCAAGGACCTATTAGTCTTGGTTCACATCACGCAACAAAATAAAAAAAACTGTCTAGAGACCAGTCTACACTTGTTTGGTGCTCTCACATCATGTAGGTTTCAATTTTATTTTGTGTCTATTCATATTTTGTTATGTAAAGCACTTTGCATTGCCCTGGGTTCATATTGTGCCATTAAAACTTTGCCTTGACAAACATGTGACTACCATTTCTATTCTGGCAATAATAATCCCAAAATATTCAATAAATTACCCCAAAACTTGGTTTGTACAATTTGCTATATCTAAAATAAATGGGATCAAAAGGAGAAACAAGTGGGGTTTACCTGCTGCTGGTTGTGAAAAGGACTTTGAGAAACCTTTTTCAGCATGCTCCGTAAAGTCTCAATACTCTGAAATACACAATTATTCTGTCATTTCATTTTTCAAGCTAGTTTGTGTCTAAACATCCTTCTTTCCTATAATCACATTGTCTACCTGTAAAGAATAACACACAACCCCCAAAGATCAGATTTGTGATGCTCCCTATTCCTGCTATTCATAAATAACAAATATAAACTTGTATTTAAGCCTCCATAATGAAACTGATTTAATTAACAATGTAATACAACAACAGCTATAAACAATAATTATATATAATAGTGTACTTAGTTCATACATGGTGCTGACGTGTCAGGAACACATCACATAAAAAGCAATAATATCTTGTTGATTATTTCTGATTATTAAAAACCCATTGACCGAGTATTCAGGCAATGGATTAGAACTTTATAAAATCTTTGCTGAATATGAGACAACAGCAGTGATAAGAAAGTGGAATTTGATGATGATATATTATGTGAAAAGTGTCTTTTTCTAAGACAAGGAATTAATCATGTTATGAATTATTTTTCCTTCGAAGAGGCTTACAGTAATGTATATTTCTGCATCAATAGTAGTTTTAGCCTTTTTTTGACATTGGCCATGTTCTCCTTTCAGCTAGTGATTCAGAAAGCACAGAGTGCCTTATAATATGGGAATATCAAGTCAACAGATCCATACAAATGATAAAATGTTTAAATAAAGATAGGAGAAAAGATCAGTGGTGTGGATAACAATTTTACCCCCAAAAGATGCATCATGGGAAGCGCGGGGGGGGGGGGGGGGTGTAAAAGCCGTGGATTCACTTCTGACATCACTGGGGGCTTAACTTTGTGACAACCAAATTCCACGCCAAATCAAAGAAGAAATGGCAAACAACAGGAAAAAAAATAATGCCTACGAGACAATTTGCCTCACGAATGCAAATGTTGTTTTAAATTTTTAATCCAAAATCATTCATGTTTTTACGGTACAATATAATGATGATTTGCTGTAATATGTTACTGTTACTCACTGGTCTTCTCTCTGCAGTCGCGGATTCATTTAAATCGCCATTTTCTCCAACATTCTCCTAAAACAAGGATAAAAACAAATAGAAATACAACATTACAAAATAAACGCCGTCCTTCTTCTTGGACATTTCTAAAGTTTAAGCTAACGCAAACTTACCAAAAATGAATCGTCCTTCATGTTCTCCGAAGCTTTAGTGTAATTGCAGAATGAAAAGTTTCAGTTTGTGATGATCTCCTCTCAGTGCAGTCGAGACGCACGCGGACTCTACACTCACCTGCGTCGAGCACGAGCGCGAGTTCAGGTGGGGGACTTCCGGTATGTACGCCTTCAAAATAAATCAAACATCTACCAAACTAATTACATTGACTTTAGCCTACTTTACCTTCAGATTAAAGCTCTACTGTGTTACATTTGAACGTGCAATAGTAATAATCAGTACATGGTGGTGTCTTATTTGGGATGTAAATCTATATTTCTGCTCTGGATAAAAATACAAATAAATAATAGTCCCAGAATTTGACGGTAAATAGTAGTAGAAGTAACAAGAGTAGTTGCGTTTGGAAACAAAAAAGGTATAATATATTTTATTGGTTTGAAAGGATAAACGTTGTTGAATTATTGCCATTTATGTACAACAACATGTAGCCTTTACAGTAGCGTCAACTTCAAAGCATCAAGCCAAATGTGAATGCAGACGGACCGGTTCAGGAGCAGTGAAACCGGGTGCTGGCCGTAAGTCACACCTCTGCATTTGTTTTTTTAGTTGTATTTTTTTTTTTACATTGAAATTAAGCTGGAAACGTTTAAAACTACTTATGGGCCTAATTAAATTGACATATGACTTTTGTTATTGCAGCGGTGGTGGATGTGGAAGTGTACAAGTGGCTTACCTGTACCTCCAATACGCATGTGCATGAGTGTATATTATATTAACATAGCACCGTGACATTTTTATAGAATGAAAACGGAAGCATTATAGATTATATTATAGCATGTGGCCACAAGAGGGCGCTTACAGATAGTTTGAACCTTCAGTGAAAGCTGTGCGTGTCCTGTGTAGGACACGCACGATTTGATTTGATTAAAATTATGACTGTCCTCTCTAAAAAAATATAGATATGACATAATTCTCTACTTTTCTATATTGTGAAGTGTAAAATCATTGGCTTTGGGTTAAATATAACATGAACTCCTGTATTGTGCAGATTTTTGTTTTGTGTTTCAATCTTGTTTTGTTGGCACTTTGAGTTACCTTGTGTATGAACTGTGATATACAAATAAACATGCCTTTTCCCGTATTAAATTGGATATGTATTATACATCAATATATATTTACACAAAAAAAAAAAAATTAAGACAGAAATTATGTGGATTTACATAATTTGTCTAAAATATTTCCTTGAAAAGATGGAGACAAAAAAGTGTTTTCTGTAAGCTTTTATTAATATTTAAGTTGTTTTTTTAGGATGGTCATTGTGTCAACACAGAAAAAATATCCACACAAATAAATCTGATTGTTTCCCATTACATTTAATATTATTGTTATATTATCATTCTCCTTTATCAGCTCTAATGCTAAAAAAGTTGCACACTATCACACGTTAAGCTAACTTTGTGAACACATGGAGACAGTGAAAATACAGTTTACAAAACAAAAGTAAAATTCTAACATGAAGGAGAGAAATAACAAGAATCCAGGTACAACTTCTGATAGACAGACATAATGGACTATAGTCACAACCACACAGCCTCGCTCGCCTCACAGACAAGAAAACATACCACCACTTTGTCTATATGTATTCATAATTTCACTTTCAAAGCTCCTGTCATAGCTCCACATTAGAATTTCTTCAAAACTTTCCATTTCTTCCCGAACGACAACAAGAAGTGGTCTGAGGATGAAACCAGCACCATAGTCATGCATGTAGTGATAGTGTGTCGGCTGGTACTGCAATACACCGTTCAAGTTAGTTTAGTCCAAATGTGCAATGCTAAATTTCTGGAGATGTTATTGCCCTATCTGGAGATGTTATTGCCCTATCTGGAGATGTTATTGCCCTATCTGGAGATGTTATTGCCCTATCTGGAGATCCATATGTTTAATGCCAGTACAGTGACAGTCAAAGCAAAGCGGTATTATCTCTAAGCAAGTAGCAAAACCGCTAATAAAGTCAATTACATGGATTTGATATGGAACTCTGGAATCGGAAATCGGTTGGAACAGTGTTAAAAAACTTCAACAGAATTTTAACTGCTTTAGGATTATTACTTAGAAATGGCATTGCAAGATTTGAACAATTTGAACTTGAATAATGTGGAGATGGATTTAGGAAAGGAGCACTTGAAAGAATCCTACAGCTTGTGGGCTACCTGAAAATGGCCTAGAATAGATAGAAAAATGAATGGCAAAAATAAAATACTGAATTAAGATTAAGCCAAAACTTCCACACTGGACTCGTCAGATAAAGGCCTGGGTTTGTAATACTGTTACAGGGCAGTGTTCAGCTTTAGTTTAAAAACCTTTTATAGATCACAGTGTAATTCTTTAATTTTTTAAAGAAATGGTTGTTAAATGTTGGCAGTTTATATGGCGCAATCGGCTTGTCATAGGCTTACGTTATTGCGTTACTGTTTGGCAGTGAAAAAGATGGATTCTTGTGATATTGGGATTTTACAATTCGCAAAATTATTGTGTGGCTCTGGCAGGTCAGGCTAGTGAAAAAGAGAGCATCGTTTACATATGGGTCTCGATCACTTGTGTTGAAATATCCCAGCCTTTCATCCCCCTTTATTTGTGCTTTTAACACACAAGCGTTTACAAGCCGTTTTGTCTCACACGTGACACACACAAACACCGTTAGCATTAGCCTCTTTAGCAGCGAAGCGCCTCTTCAAAATCTCTTTCTATAAAAACGCACACGAACTCAAGTAAGCAGCTGGATTAGTTTGGAGGTATCTGTAAACTGGCTTTGAAATCAATAACCTAGAAGTAATGAAAACACAGTGGTTCCTTCCGGTCATGGCAAACACTGATACCAAATATCCATAGCTAGTTAGCAAGTACGCTAGGTTGTTATTTAAAAAGGTGCACATGTACAAGCGTGGATATTTGGGTGTGCAGCGTGAGACCGCCAGCAGTTGTGGAAGCTCTAATTGGTGTGCGAAAAGAACCAAAACAACTTCATGGCTAAGCTAGCTCTCGAGCGCGCAGTTTCCTTCATGCTAACACGTTAACTAGCTTCTTGCAAAATCTCAAGAAATCAACAAACGCAGATTTTTCGGTCACACTCACATAAAACATACAAAAAATATTTTAAAGAACAAAAAAAGAATCCAGTCAAACTTCTAAGGGGCAGTTATCGGGCATGCAACTTTCAAATGTATAAAAATCGCTCTGCCCAATGAACGGCCGTTTTCTAAATTGTGAGTTAAATACGTGACTAACACAGAGCAGTTAGCATAAATGCTACTGTTTTATGGATTGGATGGAGCTTTTTTGACAACTCGTACCACTTTGACAGATAGTAGCAACAAATTTGTCTTGATCATAGACCATAGAAAAGGAGTGGACAAACAGATCCGCAGGTTCTTATGAGGCTCTGTGGGCGGGAATTTGAAGTCAATTTCTCGATTAACAACTACCTAGCAACCAAAGAGCCAATCAGCTACGACAACAATACTGTATGTTCCGGCTCGCACCATTTGCTAGCCGATGCCAAATTAGAGGGTAGAAGGCACCTGATTGGTCAGTTATTAGGGGTCACAACTAGATTTACAAGACAATATCCAAATATGGACACCTGTAGCACGTGAATTTGTGTATTTTAAGTGTAGTTTAGGCTGAAAGTGAAAGAAGCCAAAGTGAGCAAGAGCAACTTCATCAAGCTAGCGGGTTAGCAGTGTCCATACCTATTTAAAGTCTATGGTTTTCTTGACTATCTGGTTTTTTGTTTGTTTATTTCTGATTGAACATGTAATATGGCATCTTCGTCCCTGTATAATTCAATAGGGTTGAAATGTCTCCCCGACAATCCATAAAATATCAGTGGCAATCTATCCCCTTGACGTTTGACAATTTTTAATGTTAGTCTTTTCTTCTAATTTGGTTGAAATTATTAATGCAGATCTAATTGGCTATTAGCTTCACTACAATGTAAAAAAAAAGTTTTAACTCAGCTAAGATATCTCATTTTGGTCAATTCTGTATCATAATTTAGAAAACCGGCTGCCGTCTTGAGCAAACCACTTTCTCATTCTCAGAACAATAAAACAAAATGGAAGACATGAACAACCCGGCGAGGAAGTGGTCGCCAAGTCAACCCCCTTTCTGAGGCTTGAAACCCAAATTCAACCCAAAACTAGCTTTAAAAGTACTATACAACGCATTTCTATTATTATAAGTATCTCTTTGCTATAGCTTTCGTCTATGTTGTACATGTTTTTAACTTAAAAATCTCAGTTTATTATAACATCAGTAACATGACAGATTTTTGAATTCTCACTATTGGCGCATTCTACTTTTATACAGGCAATAATACTCCCTTTATTCTAAATTAAAAGGTTGTATTGGCTGCGATAAAAGGAGCAAGGGAGGACAGTGCATTTACATTACTGTCATATATTTGTCACAAGCCTGTTTAAAAAGGACTACAAATTGGTTGGATAGACTACAAACATGTCTGACAACCTGCACGTCCTCCCTCTCCCCATCTGCCTGTGTAGGAACCATTTTAGCCACATTTATATGACGGAAAACCATATCTATATTTTTTTTGTCTGGTTTGTTAGAGTTTTTTTTGCGATTTTATGTCAACCAAAATCAAAAATACAAAAGATTGTCATTGTAAAATTAAAATACATAATTCACGATCTTAGCTCGATTCAGAAGAGAGTGCAGTTGTCCTAATAATAAAATGTATTTGTTTTGAGCAAGGTGGGGATAGAAAAGAGAAGAAGTGTGGCAAATTTTCATACATTTTGAATGAATTTGAATGATTGCTCTCCTGTATAAACTTGGTTCAGTCATGGTAGAACCTTATCCTCAAGTGCTCTTATGCGTTTCATTAGTCTAGTTCCCGTGTTATGTTTTAGTATGATCAGTTTGTTTTGTCCAATTTCATTTGGTTCACATCTGCACCAGAGACCGCTTAAATCAGACAAAGTTCCAACGCGTCTTTAGAATCAATTAGTATCCGAGTAATTATACTTTTGACCACTGTATTCAGAAATAAATACAAATAAAATGGCAATCAAAATGCGGTCCTCAAAATGCGTCTCGAGCCAAAATGGTGCCTACACTCCCGCAGGCTGTGGGAATGACAGTAGCTGTTTAAGTGAAAAGCTCTTGTTTCTGCCTCGTTTCCTCCTTTCCCATCTCTCCGGACGATAATCAGACGTCTTGTAATCTCGGTCTTCAGCAGGATACCTCCATGGTCTGGGAGGGGCTGGGGGGCATCTGTCCTCCCTGCGATCCCTGGGACAGCGTGCGTGAGCGAGAGCGCGACCCGTCCATGGAGTAAGAGGAGGACATGGAGGTGGTGCGCGAGCGGGACAGGCGTGTCATGCAGGAGGACGCCACTGCGGAGACGAGCACAAAGAGACAGGTGTGAGGAGGGAGGTCGTGTAGCATCAAAGGTTAGCTGCAGAATTCTGATCAGTTAAACTGCGCGCTTGTGAAAGGCACACATTAATTACTACAATTTTACAATACTCCTTCCCTACTCCGTTGTGAAATGTGGGAGGGCCTTTTAATACCGCTTGCAGTTTTAATTTCTATTCTAATTAGTGCATCAGATCTTTTGGGCAGTCTTCAATCAATGCTCAGTGCTTTGCCACAGCTGTTCCTGGAGCAAAGGCTGCAACTTGGCACCATCAGCCCCTCTGACCTCTGAAGGACACAAGAGCAACAGCGCCTCCCATGGTGAGACATGGCATTACAACAATCGCTCATCCAAGAACTAACCCGGCATCAAAACTTGGTTCACATATTTACATTTAAATAGTGCTTTACTGACAGCTGCTTTTGAAATGAGAAAAAAAAGATGAAACAGTCATGCCTCACTTTAAAAAATATAACATAACATAGTAAAGTCTGTGAGTGAGCAGACTTACTGTAGCCCATGCCCTGGATGAAATACTTGAATGCCTCGGTCAGTTTAGCCGGCTGCGAAAGGGTGAAAAAACAATCATCATGAGCATTTAACCTTAAAACAAAGGGACAACAAATCTAGAAATACCTGAGTGATGTGGGGTTGACCCCCGGCATCAGCCATCTGTGGAGACAAGAACATTTGTGAGTGTGAAGAGCCGGGAATGAATTTAACTGTACAAGAACAACTTCGTATGAGAAAGTTTACCTTCAGGAAAGAGGTGGTTGTTGGGTCGAGTTTGCTGTTGCACTCCACCTAGTGGCCACAAAGAGAGTAACATTAAAAGTCCATTTATTCACTGGCTTATAACACTGCAGTTGTCTTTGTTCTTTTTTGTTTGTCACCTCTTTTGATAGATTAATTTATTCTATGGATATTTTCTTTGATTTTATTTAATGTTTTGATTTTTGATGGCCTTTTAAAGATTGTTTTAGCATTATTCTGTTTTAGCATTACTCTCTGATTTTGTTTTTATACATGGTTTATGCCGCACTGCCCATCCATCCAAGTAAATAAAAAATGAAAAGCAGATAGAATGTAAGATTTTCCTCATGCATCCACTCTCAGCGATCTACAATGTAGAGAAGAGATTTATACAACAGACATTTTTGACATGAAACGTACCGCGGCCTCTTCATACGGAGCCTGATCTCCGACCACCAACATCACTGGACATCTGAAAGAGACCATTTGATCGATTGAATATTCACCTGATTAATACTAGAATTACATCTGATCAAAATGTTTGAACCATTCATCCTTATTTTCTTGGGAAATGTACCATTATTTCAGTCTACACAATTGCAAAGACAGACTCACTTGAATGTGTTGGTGCGATCCAGTTGCAGTTGGCTGCGACTAAAGAGAGAAAAGACATTTTATCAGCGGCAGCATTATTTATTATTATTATTATTAGAAGTAGTAGTATTACTCCAATCCATTGTAGGAAGTAGTTGTCGAAACATGAGTAGAATTAGTAGAAGTATTGGGAGTAACAGCAACAGATTGATCAATAAGAGTAACCACCACTACATTCACACTTTCTGGTCTGAAGTTTTTCCCCAATTGAACCAGACTCGGTCCAGTTTCTTATTAGCAGTGATCGACCAGTGAGAGCTCTCTAATTCACAGGAGTTTTTTTTAACTAATGTTTATTTTTTATTTAACCTTTATTTAACCAGGAAAGTCCCATTGAAATTAAGAACCTCTTTTTTAGGGAGTCCTGTATTTTGGATTAAACTAACTCATTAGTTAAAAACCCTGATTGACATTACACTTAAAGCAACAATAAGAAGCTGTAGGTGATGGCCACATTTCTTTCTTGTGATTTATTTGCGGGAGGGATACATGCGTTTAGAGTTTAGGTGCTTAACATACACAAAATGAGTCTGTGAGAATGGGTTTTTGTTGTTGTATAGAAGTAGTTGTTGAGGTAAAAGTAATGGTTTTTGTACTTGTTGTAGGCCTTCCAGAAGAGCTCGATGTTCCCCACATGAGGAGATTTGTTCATTCCGTCTCTGTGTGACTGAACCAGCTCAGTGTGTGCAGACAGCTCCTCCTGGACACAGAAGATTAACTTTAATATTAAACTGCAGTTTTAGGTTAGATTCCACGTGGTGATAACACTGAAGGGGCGGCACAGTGGCTGAGTGGATAGCACTCTCGTCTCTCAGCAAGAAGGGACCAGGGTCTTTCTGAGTGGAGTTTGCATGTTCTCCCCATGTCTGCGTAGGTTTCCTCCGGGTACTCCGGTTTCCCCTACCACTAAAAACATGTAGAATAGGTCTGGCATGCGCCTCCTGTTCAGCGACCCCGCTCCCATCTCTGTGCGGAGTGAGAGACAAATGCCCAAAAATAACAATTGTAAACAGCTTCGTGACTGGTCTGTGAAAAGCGGTATATAAATAAAGATTACTTACTTACTACTGATAGACAGAGTAAATATGATAAAGTCAGATTATATTGTTAGTTTAGAGCTAAATTCTCTGTAATTCCAAGTATAATCCACATAAAACAAAAACAGTCACAAAGCTTCACAACGTCTTTGTCAGTATATATGTACTATGGTCTTATTAGTTTCCTATAAAGGTAGAAATGGTGAAAATATTCAAAAACATATGCAGGATGCTGGTTAAAAGAAAGGACTTTCTTTTAACATGGCGGGTTTTGAATCTATTAACTTTCAAATGCTGATCTGGAAAAGCATTTGACCTAAACCTAAAACTCAAAGCGAATTCTCCAACATGAAAGCAACCTTTAAAAGTGAAAACATTTCATTGATTATTAGTAGTTTCGAAAAGCATTTACCTGACTGAAGAGGTGGGTCATGATCTGTTCTGTGAGGGAGCTCAGCTGCACGGACAAAAACAAAACTATTAGTGAAAACATTGAACCATCGAACTCAGACCTAATTAGTGCAAAATGAGACGAGATGCGGCAGTTGAACGATGTAACGAGCCCGTCTAAATGTCACATGACGGAGAACCCTCGTTAGCGCTAACCCGATTCAAATGCCACGGTTCTATGAGCCCAGACCAAAGACGAGAGGCAGGAAGTTTTGCTCAAGTAAACAAGAGACTAGATCAAGTGCAAAACAAGTATGATGCATGTGTTCATTTTCACCCTTAATACATCATCATAGTATTCATATTGGTTGTTCTTTACCTTGTTTTGTTTATGTACTTGTCTGGTGCACACTGGGGACTTTTACAAATGTATTTCTATGTGGTTATACTGAAAATGGCTGAAATTGAATCAGTTTCCATGTTTTAGCGTTAAATTATGAATTAGTAGATTTTGAAAAATGGGTAAATGAATGGCAAATGTAAATGTTCTCTTTATTGTCCCCGCAGGGAAATCTGTCAGGTTCTGGTCAAAACCAGTAAAACCCGATGTGGTAGAAGTCTTAAACGTGAAACTTCACTAATCATCTCTGACCAAAATTTGTAATCAACATGTAAATCACATGGCGATTGCAAAACTACATCTACACCTCTCTCTGCAGGTAACATATACGCTACACCACACTGTTACACCACACGTGAACTGGAGGCGAGGAAGAAAGTGTAGAGGAGGGAACAGCCCAGAAACACGAGATGTCTTTGTATTGAAACTGTTACTTTATTGTTAGAAAATTGCCAATATCCATCAGTAATGGTGAAAGTCTGCACGTACTTTCTGAGCAGCCCAGTCGATCCATCCTCTGGCGTTTATGTCGATGTTGACCAGAACCAGTCCCTCCACAGAGTCGGGGTTCGCCAGCTTCAAATAAACATTGTATTATCAGTTACATACAAAGAAAATGGTGAAAGATACGACCATTGACAGTATATTAGGAGTGGACTGATCGAGTGCTGACGACACACACGGTGTTAGCCTCAATGCGGAAGAGGCTAATTAGAGATATCTCGAAAGGGCTGTTGGAGTAGGAATAGAGCCAAATGTTCACTGAATTATTTTTTTGGATAACACATACTGCAGGTATAGGCCTGACTGCCTATTAGAGATGATGTCACATTGTAAGATTGTAAGACATGTAACTTAATGAATAATAATATTCATGACACCTGGATGACAACAGAGCTGGTATTTGCATAAGATTTTCTTTGACGTAACATGAAGACACTCACTGTGAACTTGGAGAGGATGTAGGCTCCAGCTCCCACTCCGATGCCGATCACTGTGGGGAAACTGCACAGACAGTTCCGCAGCTAAGTAAGCGCTCAGAGACTTTTGGTAATATTTACAAAATGAATAATTCATAACCCCCAATGCCAGGCCATTTCTGCAATTATATGATAAGGGCTGTTCAGACTCACGCACTGATCAGACTAGGAATTAGATGATACAGGTGAAACTTCGAAAATTAGAATACTGTTCAGAAGTCCCTTTACATAATGCATTTGTAAAAAAAAATTTAAAATTTACTGCAGGCCATAATCATAAACATGATAAGAAACAGAAGCTTGGCATGTGTCACTCTGCATGTAATGAGTCTTTATCATTAGCCCCGTTTCCATCAGCCATACTCATATCTACTCTACTCCATCCAAATTAGGAGCATTTTCATCGGCCCCGTTTTACCAATACCAGGTACTTTTTTAGTCCCTGCTTGGCCCCAGTGATTGGCTAGAGCCATGGTTACCAAGGGTAACCATGGTCTGTTGTGGGAAAGTGGCTAGGACACGGTACCAGTTACTTAATGGAAACGCCACCAGGGAGAGTAGAGTGGAGTATGGCCAGATATAAAATAAATTAACTTGTGTGTATAATTTATAAATTATTAATTAATTAAGTCTCACCAGTGTTTCAAATTGTATAATGTTTTATGGGATGCTTCAACCCTTCAGTGCCATATATCTTTCTAAGCCTTATGGATGAGGCAGAAGTCATTTCAGAGTTCAGAAATTTCATTCCCACAAAACGACTCACTTGAAAAACTGCAGAACGGGAGGAATCATCTCCGCAATGGTGTCCATGGACGGATACTGGTAACTGGGAGAGAGACGCAAAACTTTCAAGACTAAAAGCAAAAACCATTCAATTTACTATGGACTGGAACAAGGTCAATAACTGTGTTGTAAAACTGCAATATAAGCTCTGAACGTTTAGAAAAGCACTGTAAACATCTTGCAACAATCAGGAGGTCTGAAATAAACCGATTTAAGTAAAAGTGGCGTCAATATATGTATTTTATAATCTATTACATTATATTGCATTTTATTAATTATTTTATTGTCATTATACATTTTATTTATCACTTTGAAACCACAAACAATAACTATGTCACAAAATCCATGTTACTAGTTCCTAACTCTAAATACAGTTTAGTTTAGCATGTATTTTTGTCACATCCTCAACTTTAGTGAAAAAGAAGGAACCAGACCTCCCTCAGCTCTCAGGATGTTAAAGATTCTAATAAGATGAAGCGGCTGTGGTCTGAAAGTGTTTCTTAAAAAAGATTTTCTCTTGTGACAAACAAAATACATGTATGACACAACCCAAAAAGTTATGTATATTCCCAAATTTAAGGGTGAAAATTAACACAATATTAGTTTTCTTTTATGATAAAAAAAAAAGTTGTGTCCCCTCTGTCCCAGAAATCCCAGGGACAGTGGGAATTCCTGTCCTACACAGGAATCCCCTCTGTGTAGGACAGAGCATCTGGAGGTTATGGTGACCGTGGTGGTACCATGTGTGGACAGCGGTACCTGGCTGGAAGGGCAGCGGCCCCCTCCTCCTGTCCCGGGACGTCTATGTGGATGAGGGTAAAACTCTTCACAATCTCCTGCATCTCCTCAAACTGGAACAGGGTTGAAAAACAGCTCTTACCTGGAAAAAAAATGGATGATGTATTTGTGGTGTGTTTGAGAAAACCTCTCGTCTCTGCGTGAGTGAGCTTGGATGAGCATTAATCATTCACTATGTACACAGAAGCTAAGCTACTACTGTAGCCACAGCTGCCCCCGGACAGGTTGAAATGGGGCTAATGCACTCGGGACAAAGAACCCTCCGACTCCCACTGGGTGGCACGGTGGCTGAGTGGATAGCACTCTCGCCTCTCAGCAAGAAGGTCCTGGGTTCGAATCCCGGTCGGACCAGGGCCTTTCTGAGTGGAGTTTGCATGTTCTCCCCGTGTCTGCGTAGGTTTCCTCCGGGTACTCCGGTTTCCCCTACCACTAAAAATATGTCCAATAGGCATGTCTGGCATGCGCCTCCTGTACTGGCGACCCCCGCTCCCATCTCTGTGTAGTGTGAGAGACTAATGCCCATAATTAACAATTGTAAACCGATTTGAGACTGAGATCTGCAGTGAAAAGGCGGTATATAAATAAAGATTACTTACTAATTACTTACACTGGAGTTGTTTGAACATATGTGTGTGAACATATGAGAAATGTAGTTTATTTAAGATGGGTCACAGAACAAGTTCTTAAACTATTTTTTAAGCAAAAAAAAGGAATTTATATTTTAATTCCTTTTGTTTTGCTTCAAGAAAGTGCATTGTAGAAATGCACTCTACAAGTCTGTGATTATAAATTTAAAAAATTAAGCCTTTTGAGTCACTATAAGAATATTTTAGGCTTTTCTATTCTCTTTGAAAAGAAAACAACACTTCTGTTCAACTTCGTCCTTTCACAATTTGAAAACAGGTTCAAAAGCAGCACTCACTGTCCAGGCCCACGTCGTGGCAGGTGAGGATGGCCGGGCGGCGGGAGCTGCGGGCGCCGTGCAGCGTCACATGGAGAACGCCGTGAGGAGTCTCTATGCTGTGCTCCTGAAACAACATGATAACAGAAAGACTGCGTCTGAAGGTGTAGATTCAAACCCAGGAACTTCTTGCTGTGAAACACAAGTGCTAAAAAACCGCAGGGTTTCTTATTTAGTTGAAAATATACAAAAGCCAGTGGACAGCTGAGTGTGGCCGCTTGTGATTCACCATGTTTTTAATTAAGTTTTCTCTTTTGTGCTTCAAGCAATCAGCTTCTGAATGACTCATGAACACTTGAAGCGTGAGTCAACCAAAGTGAATGCTGTCTGTAAATGTCTGGCTTTTTACTTCTTTATACATGCAAATTGGTTGCAAACCAATTTGCACAAGGAGGAAAAATAAACTTGAAGGCTATTAAATCAAGTACGTAAAGACGAGAAAGGGCAATGCTTCCATTAAAAACACTAAAATGCATGCTTTAAAACAACTTTAAAGAACCCCTATGAGTTGATACATTTATCTGGATAAATTCTAATAAACAAAATAAGGGACAATCAATGTGATGGTCCTTATATCATGGATGGAGCTAAAAACAACTCAATGTCTATTTTTGATGAGGGTACGATGCTGTGACAGGATCAAAAACAAAACTCAAGGAAGCCGTTTTTGCGATTAAGACTGTCGTTTCAAAATATAAATCAATAATGTCATAGACACAGAGGAAGCAAAATATTCTTTCTTCAACACAAACATCGATGTCTGAGGGCCTTTTATGGGGCTTCGGTTTAGTTTGATTATAACTGAACCTGGCTCCAGAGCCTCCTGTCGCTCACAAAACATCCGCACATCTCTCGTCTGACGAAGGTGAACTACTGCAGACAAGGCTGTGTCAGTAGTCTTTAATATCATTGACCAGAAATGTCACTTTACCTGCCCCTGGTCCAGCAGTATCCGAGCGGCCAGTTCTGCATCCTGTAAAAACACAAAGAAAGCAGAAGCAAATTCAGCATAGACAATAAAAACTGTTATTGTGAGTGTCTAGACAGGTGGCATAGACTTATTGGAGCCAAATGGAACATGTACATTTCTCCATAGTGGGAACAATAAAGTTTGAACTCCCTTATCTTATTAATACATTGAATATCACCCCCCTCCCTCCCTCCCCACTCCCTCCCTCGTCATTTTGGGCTCACTGGGATTGAAAACGCTGATGTTTGGTTATATGTGAATCAGGTTATTTTCGAATATGAAGTTACGTCCATCCATCCATCCATTTTCTACCCTTTAATCCATTTCTGGGTCAGGGGGGTGGCAGTCAGAGCTGCACCCAAGTCTCATAGCACCAGCCCCTCACTGACCCTCTGCAGGTGGTGAGTCCACAGGAGGACGGCTGCTCTCTGACTGTGAGCATAGCCTTGATCTTTCAGAGGGGGCTTTGGGCAAAGTGGGGTTAAGTGTCTTGCCCAAGGACACAACGACAGCAGTCATCAGTGGGAGTCGGTGGAGAAGGTGCAGAGGTGGGAAGTTACGTGGATACAAATTATTTTATAAACGGAGGTGGGGGGAAATATTCGGTTTTAAAAATACCCAGCTACGTGTGGACATGGCCCAAGACATACTGTGTCTATCCAAACTGTCTTTATGAAATGTACGTTACTGCCCTCTGCTGTTTATTCTACTATTTGTGGCATGGCACCGTAAAGATGGCGCCGTGGCAAGAGCTCTGGTGTGTGCCGTCTTCTCCGTCTGGTGCACACTGGGGTAGTCTTGCACGGTTTTTCCAATGTGGTTTTACTGCAAATGGCAAATAAATTCTTGTATCTTGTATCTTGAATTATCTCCCATCTTATCCTATAACGCTGGTATTGTATGGATCGTACCACGGCCACTATTTTGATTAAATTGTCGGTATAAGATAGATGAAATATTAATACGTCATTGAATAATTAATCTGGCAAATAAACTTCATGATGGAACATTAGTTTGGGCCTTCAACACATCATGGTTCCCACCGAATGAAAGTCCAATTCATATGGCATAAAGTGCAGGTCGGAAATGGTAATTATTACTTGAGCTTCTTTGACAAACTGTGCCTCATCTACACGGGGAATTGTTACATTACATTATATGCTTTTTGTACAATAGATTTAATTTGGATGAGGTCATGGATCTGGCTTCCTGTGAGGTGGAGAACAAAAGCTGAATGGAGGAACATAAGAGCTCTGTGATGGGAGGCCTGGTTACTATCATTATACCCACACACTGATTGTACGGATAAGAGGAGGTAAAGACGGGGTTTCTTCAGTCACAGATGCTGGGGTGTGTGTGTGTGTGTGTGTGTGTGTGTGTGTGTGTGTGTGTGTGTGTGTGTGTGTGTGTGTGTGTGTGTGTGTGTGTGTGTGTGTGTGTGTGTGTGTGTGTGTGTGTGTGTGTGTGTGTGTGTGTGTGTGTGTGTGTGTGTGTGTGTGTGTGTGTGTGTGTGTGTGTGTGTGTGTGTGTGTGTGTGTGTGTAAAAACGAGTGGGCGGTCACTCACAAAGGATAATGAACGAGTAGATAAAGTGCTTGTGAAGGCTGTGATGTCACCGGTCTGCTCGTTAGTAGAAGAATTGAGGTGGGTTCAATTACTATCAGTTCAATTAGATATTCAGACAATACAGTACTTTTACGATGTGGGCTTGCACCAACTCTTGAGACAGCTTCTTTTTGAACAGTGTATTTTATATGGTGTATTTAAAACATTTTGATTTTACCAGAAAAAACAATGTATTTGTCATACTTGATGATTTGATGTTTTACTTTTTCAAGACAAAATGGAATATTGAGCCAGAGACTGAACCCTGCACTTTGAAGGTCAATCGATAAGTACTGTTTTGTTTGTGTTTCGCTCCCAATTTATATTCTTTTAGTGTGTTTTTATATTTTCCATTTTACGATCTATTATTAGAGTATTGCATTTTGATATACGTGGTTTTATATTGTATAAAACCACGGGGCGACAGTAGCTCAGTTGGTAGAGCATTGGCCTTAAGGCCAGAAGGTCATGGGTTCAATTCCCACCTCCGCACCTTCTCCACCGACTCCCACTGATGACTGCTGTCGTTGTCTCCTTGGGCAAGACACTTAACCCCACTTTGCCCAAAGCCCCCACTGAAAGATCAAGGCTATGCTCACACTCAGAGAGCAGCCGTCCTCCTGTGGACTCACCCCCTGCAGAGGGTCAGTGAGGGGCTGGTGCTATGAGACTTGGGTGGTATCTCTGACTGCCACCCCCCTGACCCAGAAATGGATTAAAGGATAGAAAATGGATGGAAAATGGATGGATGGTTTAAAAATAAAAGAAATAAACATAAAGTTATATGCTTGTGCCTTAAGTACCTTCTATTAGCATGGATGGATCTAAAATTTCCAGGTCAGTGTCTGATGAGGGAACAATGTTGTAACATGGTCAAAAGTTCAGAAAAGTCTGCAAATAAACTGATTTTGATAACGTGAGGAGGGGGCGACAGTAGCTCAGTTGGTAGAGCATTGGCCTTTCAGCCTGGAGGTCGTGGGTTCGATCCCACCTCAAAACCTTCTCCACCGACTCCCACTGATGACTGCTGTCGTTGTGTACTTGGGCAAGACACTTAACCCCACTTTGCCCGAAGCCCCTGCTGAAAGATCTCAGCTCCTGTGGACTCACCACCTGCAGGAGGATCAGTGAGGGGCTGGTGCCATGTGTACTGGGTGCAGCTCTGATTGCCACCCCAATGACCAGAAATGGATTAAGGGGAAGAAAATGGATGGATGGATGGAGGAGCTTGAGTCTCACCTTGGAGCTGTCGGCCTGACCCGTGAGCAAAGGCTTGTCCTCCGTGATGGCAACGTCCTGCATCTCTGTCGCCATGGCGTCACTTCCTGTTTGAGACAAAACAGGAGCATTATCTTTTCCATGTGGAATCTGGCACATGTGCGATAACCTGAGACCATGCATCTCTCCTCTGGCTTAGAAGTATACAATACAAATAGAACAATAGAAGTATAATTTAATCTCAAAACAGTAATTTTGTATCACTATTTAATCAGTCACATCATTAGATTGACAGACCGTAGAGTGGAAAAGCCAAAAGAGTCAAAAAGTGACTAAGTATGTTGTCTGATATGTTCACAATATTTTATTTCTACAAAACTCTTTCTGTTGGGTTGTATTATCCTGTATTATTTATAAGATAATATAAGAAACTATTGATCTCACAATGAAAAAAAATATGGGGACAAAGTCATGTACCCCAACTTTACATTTTTAATATTTTAATATTTTTGCAAGCTCTGTCAGACTGCAATGACTGAAGACAGTGGCACCAAACACCAGCAACTCCATTATCTACAGCGGTGTGCCCTTCAGGCCTCTGAGCTCTGGGACCTTCACTGAGTTAATTAGCAATTAGCGAAAGTAAAAACAAGCAGCAGTTTGGAAAGTCGCATCAGGATAAAGTTACAGACAAAATCTAAATCAAGTTTTACCACTTTTCAAGATCATTCCACAAGTATAAGCTAAAAAACATATCAACAAAAACAATATAAATGGTGTTTTATGGGGAATAATCCAGAGAGAGATGAGTTGGGTTTGATTCAGATTTTACTATTATTATTGTCCTCAAAGGAAAAATGTCTATTCTGCTCATATCATGTCAATACTGAGGGGTAAATTATTAAAATGAAACAAATGTATGTGCTTGCCTTGATATGTATGCATCAAACTGAAATGTCCCCATTGCGGGCCGAAAAAAGGACCTTCTACTTCTTCTATAAATCGGTACAATTTCAACACGGAACTAGAAACGCAAACCTCAGCCAAACAGGCAAATACACTCCGAGTCCTTAAAAAACTGAATCCAGATGTATTGATGTATAAATGTGTTGATAAAGTTACTAATTCGTCTGTCTAACTACTAATTGAAAAGTACTTTTAGTTACCAAAGTCTCAGAAATTAATTATATAATAAAGATTTACTCCTTTTGAGTATGAGCTGTGTTTTTATGTCGCTCAGAGAAGTAAATTAAACCAACACATACATATTGTACTATACTGTATCCCCATATAATCCATAGATCTGCCCCTTGTATGTGTTTATTAAGATCTCTGTGAACAACAAAGTGCCAACATAGCAGCAGATCATGGTAAGAAGCAGAAGAAACTGCAGATTTTGTTTTCACTGGTGCCAAAATGCCTGTAACTGCCACATCAACTGTATATACGATTAATGATGAAGACTATAATAACTATATAGAATTAATGGACAATCACTAGGGATGCACCGATCCGATACTGGTATCGATATCGGCGCCGATACCAGAAAAAATACTGGATCGGATATCCGAGTAGAGAGAGGCGCCGTGCTGCCAATCCATTTTCTTTTCTTTTTAAAAAAAAAATTATATATTTTTTTAATACATACCAGGTACCGCACAATGTCTTAAAATACATTGTGCATAATGTACATATACGTATAAAATGAATTAATTAAAAGTAATTTATCAGATCTCACGTACACGTCACTTCCTCGTGGCGCTCTACAACAACAACACAGCATGGAGCGCAGGAAAGAATCAGCGTTGTTCACGCGGCGGTAAACTTGCGAAATACAACACGACTAAGCACCACGAGAAACAGCATGGGGAGTTTTTGCATCGAAAGGAGAATACGTGAAAACAACAAGACACAGATGACACTGACGCAGCGTCACAAAAAGCTTTTCAGCAACAACCCCAAAGTGTTGGAGTTCATCATGGGCTCGCAGCCCCATAGACCATTTGGAACCCAGGTACATGCCGTCGCCAAATACATATCTGAAATCCAGTTAAAGCTACGGTACCATTATTTATTTACATTTTCATGCAGTGTGTTTTGTTTGTTGTAAGTGTTTATTTATTCAAACACAGTTAATATAAGTACATTTATATTCAATAAATGTATAAGGTATAATACAGTGTTGGAATGTTTAATGTGAACATTGAGCAGCTCTTTATAGTTGCATTATTGCACATTTATGTTGAATCCTTTTTTATCTGGAAAGTTTAGCGCTTTAGTTTATCCACTGCTTTTGCAGTTACTTGAACAAAGAGTTCAATTATTAAATACATTTTTGCATGATCATTTTCGGTATCGGTCAATATCAGTATCGGCAGGAACCCATAGCTCTGGTATCGGTATCGGTAGTAAAAAAGCTGGATCGGTGCATCTCTAACAATCACCATTAAAATTCTTTCTCATTGTCTGAAATCTTATCTTTAATCAAGTAATTTAGAATTATGCATTTATTTGTTTGTTTGTATGGTTGGATGTGTTTCTGTGGCTGGACACCTGAATTTCTCCTATGTAGCAGTAATAAAGTATCTATCCATCTATAAGGCGTACAATGACTTGCAACTTATCCCAACAGGACTCCAAATTCAAACTTTTCTGTTAATCAGCATTTTACTCACGTACTTTTACCATTCAACCTTATCTGCTCTCCTGATCTGTGTCGCTTCCTGCCGGTGTTACATTTTAATAGGTCCCACACATAGTTTTTCGACCTGAGCAGTTCCCAATGTTGTGGAGCGTGTAAATTGTGCTAAATGAGGAAGAGGAAAGTCAAAGGCAAAGTGAGGACACGGTTTAGTGTAGAGTGAACTCCCACAAGCACAATGGTCACGTGGACGCAACCGCAGCATTCACAACGATCGTGTATCAAACTAAATCTGTACTCAACACAATTTAGGCATAGCATTACTAAAACATTCAATCATGCTCTTATTAATAGTTGAAATACTGAATTGAGGGTTCAGCCGGGCTTGAATGTCAAAGTACTGTAAATACTACACTTGCTCCATGTCTTGGGTTTTTGTTTTGCAGTTTTTCAATATGGGGCGACAGTGGCTTAGTTCGGTAGAGCATAACAACGTAAATGCTCGCTGTACTTTTTTGCAACGTGTACTATGATGTAACAACTGGTTATGTTAAAACCCAAAGATTTTTTTCCATGTTTGTCATTGGTCTGCTTCTACTGGGTGGCAGCTCTGATTGACACACGTGGAACGGAGCTTTGAGCCAAGAGTAAACTTTTGGACCATACTGTAAAGGTGTTTTTGAGAGGTAAGAAGATGCTATACGTTAGCATTGGCTAATTCTTATTCCAGGTCCGCCCCCATCGGCCCGGGGTGGTATTGCAAGCATATCAGCGCACATCGTTTTGGCCACTGTGGAGCCTGGACCCGCCCCCACTGAAATGGACTAACAAAGGGGAAGAAAATTATATGACGAGTTTTCCGATATATACATCTAATTGAAATAATTTAACGTAAATAATTAGTTGACTATTAAAAATTGACATCATTGATTAAACTAAAGGACTATAGACTGGCAGTCCAGAAGGTTATCTGAAAAGTGTTTGATATTTTTTTAATGTGGCACAGTTTTAGTTATGACATTAAACTAAACTAAACCAAACTAAACATGACTGGTCTAAGGGATTCACCCAGACTACCCTGTGGCCCTCCCTGATGCTCTCCCTGTGGCTCTCCCTGCGGCTCTCCCTGCGGCTCTCCCTGTGGCTCTCCCTGATGCGCTCCCTGATGCTCTCCCTGCGGCTCTCCCTGATGCGCTCCCTTATGGTCTCCCTGCGGCTCTCCCTGCGGCTCTCCCTGATACTCTCCCTCTGTGGCTCTCCCTGTGGTTCTCCCTGTGGCTCTTCCTGATGCTCTCCCTGCGGCTCTCCCTGCGGCTCTCCCTGTGGCGCTCCCTGATGCGCTCCCTGATGCTCTCCCTGCGGCTCTCCCTGATGCGCTCCCTTATGGTCTCCCTGCGGCTCTCCCTGCGGCTCTCCCTGATACTCTCCCTCTGTGGCTCTCCCTGTGGTTCTCCCTGTGGCTCTTCCTGATGCTCTCCCTGTGGCTCTCGCTGATGCTCTCCCTGTGGCTCTCCCTGATGCTCTCCCAGCTGCTCTCCCTGTGGTTCTCCCTGTGGTTCTCACTGTGGTTCTCCCTGTGGTTCTCCCTGTGGCTCTCCCTGATGCTCTCCCTGTGGCTCTCCCTGATGCTCTCCCTGTGGCTCTCCCTGTTGCTCTCCCTGTGGCTCTCGCTGATGCTCTCTCTGTGGCTCTCCCTGATGCTCTCCCAGCTGCTCTCCCTGTGGTTCTCTCTGTGGCTCTCCCTGATGCTCTCCCTGTGGCTCTCCCTGATGCTCTCCCTGTGGCTCTCCCTGTGGCTCTCCCTGTGGCTCTCCCTGTGGCTCTCCCTGTTGCTCCCCCTGCTCTCTCATCCCGGCAGCAGCTGCAGACCACTGTTGTTTTCTTCATCTGTCTCACTGAACAGGTTTCAGTCTGATCTCCCATATCAGACTATATCCCATAATCGCTCCAGTGCCTCTAATCCAAGGCCTGAAATAATCACATAAACAACTGACACATGCTGCCGGAGCACCACGGTATTTATGTAATGACTTCACAATGTAGTAAGTAACTTGAATAGAAAGAAAGAGACACAACTGAAAGCAGATTTCACTAACTGTGTTCTGCCAAATACCAAGCAATGCAAAAATAATACGCAAAATGGAAGCAGAATATAAATCCGTAAATGTGGTGCATTTAGGAAAAAGTATCTTTCTCTGTTAGGATGTATTGCATTACTGGTTCTCTCGTGCTCCACACCATATATGGTCTTGAGCAACACATAAAGAAAGATGCATATCGCAAACTCTTCTCAACAGCATAGTTCCATCGTCAAACACAAACATGGAGTTGTTTTTAGCTCCATCCTCACTATAAGTTAAATTATGTTCTTATGTTCTGACTTGTTTTAATCTGTAATGCATATTTATAGATATTTCTCCATCCATCCATCCATTTTCTTCCGCTTTATCCGTTGCCGGGTCGCGGGGGCAGCAGTCTAAGCAGAGACGCCCAGACTTCCCTATCCACACACACCTCCTCCAGCTCGTCCGGGGGGACCCCAAGGCGTTCCCAGGCCAGCTGAGAGACATAGTCTCTCCAGCGTGTCCTGGGTCTTCCCCGGGGCCTCCTCCCGGTGGGACGTGCCCGGAACACCTCCCCAGGAAGGCGTCCAGGAGGCATCCTGAACAGATGCCCGAGCCATCTCAACTGGTTCCTCTCGACGTGGAGAAGCAGCGGCTCTACTCCGAGCTCCTCCCGTGTGACTGAGCTCCTCACCCTATCTCTAAGGAGTGCTCCCTTAGAGATAGTCCCTCCCGCCATTCTGCGGAGGAAGCTCATTTCGACCGCTTGTATCCGCGATCTCGTTCTTTCGGTCATTACCCACAGCTCATGACCATAGGTGAGGGAGGGAACGAAGATTGACCGGTAAATCGAGAGCTTCGCCTTTCGGCTCAGCTCCCTCTTTACCACAACGGTCCGATACAGAGACCGCATCACTGCGCACGCTGCACCGATCCGCCTGTCAATCTGACGCTCCATCCTTCCCTCACTCGTGAACAAGACCCCGAGATACTTGAACTCCTTCACTTGAGGAAGGACCTCTCCACCCACCCGGAGCGGGCAAGGCACCTTTTTCCGGTCGAGCACCATGGCCTCGGATTTGGAGGTGCTGATTCTCATCCCAGCCGCTTCGCACTCGGCTGCAAACCGTCCCAGTGCATGCTGCAGGTCCTGGTTCGTTGGAGCCAGCAGGGCGACATCATCCGCAAAAAGTAGAGATGAAATCCTGTGGTTCCCGAACCGGACCTCCTCCGGCCCCTGGCTGCGCCTAGAAATTCTGTCCATAAATACAGTGAACAGAACCGGTGACAAAGGGCAGCCTTGACGGAGGCCAACATGCACCGGGAACAGGTCTGACTTACTGCCGGCAATGCGAACACAGCTCTGACTCCGGTCATACAGGAACCGGACGGCCCTCAGCAGAGGACCCCGGACCCCGTACTCCCGGAGGACCCCCCAAAGGACACCCCGGGGAACACGGTCGAACGCCTTCTCCAAATCCACAAAGCACATGTGGACAGGTTGGGCGAACTCCCATGAACCCTCGAGTATCCGATGGAGAGTATAGAGCTGGTCCAGTGTTCCGCGACCGGGACGAAAACCACACTGCTCCTCCTGAATCCGAGATTCGACCATCGGACGTAGCCTCCTCTCCAGTACCTTGGAGTAGACCTTACCGGGAAGGCTGAGGAGTGTGATCCCACGATAATTGGAACACACCCTCCGGTCCCCCTTCTTGTAGAGAGGGACCACCACCCCGGTCTGCCACTCCATTGGCACCGCCCCCGATCGCCACGCGATGCTGCAGAGACGTGTCAGCCAAGACAGTCCTACAACATCCAGAGACTTTAGATAGTCAGGACGGATCTCATCCACTCCCGGCGCCTTGCCACCATGGAGGCTGCCAACCACCTTGGTGACCTCGGCCAGGGAGATGGAAGTGTCCGCCCCAACATCCTCAGCCTCTTCCTCCTGGACGGAGGACGTGACGGGGGGATTGAGGAGAACCTCGAAGTATTCCTTCCACCGCCCGACAATATCCCCAGTCGAGGTCAGCAGCCCTCCACCCGCACCATACACGGCGTTGGCAAAGAACTGCTTCCCCCTCCTGAGGCGCCGGACGGTTTGCCAGAACCTCTTCGAGGCCAACCGATAGTCATGCTCCATGGACTCTCCGAACTCCTCCCAGTCCCGGGTTTTTGCCTCTGCAACAGCCCGGGCCGCGGCACGTTTGGCCTGCCGGTACTGGACAGCTGCCTCAGGAGTCCCACGAACCATCATTGCTCGATAGCACTCCTTCTTCAGCCTGACGGCATCCCTTACTGCCGGTGTCCACCACCGGGTTCGGGGATTGCCGCCGGGACCAGCACCAGAGACCTTGCGACCACAGCTACGAGCCGCCGCATTGGCGATAGAGGAAGAGAACATGGTCCACTCGGACTCGATGTCCCCCTCCTCTGCCGGGACCTGGGAGAAGCTCTCCCGGAGGTGTGAGTTGAAAATCCGTCTGACAGGGGGCTCAGCAAGACGTTCCCAGCAAACCCTCACTACACGCTTGGGCCTGCCAGGTCTGACCGGCCTCCTGCCCTGCCAGCGGATCCAACTCACGACCAGGTGATGATCGGTTGACAGCTCCGCCCCTCTCTTCACCCGAGTGTCCGAGACACGCGGTCGAAGGTCAGATGATACGACAACAAAGTCGATCATCGACCTCCGGCCTAGGGTGTCCTGGTGCCACGTGCACTGATGGACACCCTTGTGCTCAAACATGGTGTTCGTGATGGACAGGCCGTGACTGGCACAGAAGTCCAACAACTGAACACCGCTCGGGTTCAGATCAGGGGGGCCGTTCTTCCCGATCACCCCTCTCCAAGTGTCACTGGCATTTCCCACATGGGCGTTGAAGTCCCCCAGGAGAATAACGGAGTCCCCGGGCGGTGCACTGTCCAGTACCCCTCCCAAGGACTCCAACACGTGGCGGCTGAGATGGGGGGCAATGAGTATGGCCACCCCAGCTCGCCGCCTCTCCCCGCGGGAAACACCAGAAAAGTGGAGCGTCCAACCCCTCTCAAGGAGTTGGGTTCCAGAGCCCAAGCTGTGTGTGGAGGTGAGGCCGACTATCTCTAGTCGGTATCGCTCAACCTCCCCCACAAGCTCGGGCTCCTTCCCCCCCAGTGAGGTGACGTTCCACGTCCCAAGAGCCAGATGTTGGGTGTGTGGACTGAGTCGTCGAGGTCTCCGCCTTCGACTGCTACCCAGTCCTCGCTGCACCACGCCACCACGGACCCCTCTGCAGGTGGTGGGCCCACAGGAGGGACTGCCCACGTCATCCCTTCGGGCTGAGCCCGGCCGGGCCCCGTGGGCTAAGGCCCGGCCACCAGGCGCTCGCTTGCGAGCCCCGACCCCAGGCCTGGCTCCAGGGTGGGATAGATATTTCTGATACTTTAAAACATTAAATGCCAAAGTAGATGCTCAAAGTCAAAATGGACATACTTTGTTTTACTCAGTTGATCCCTGTTTTTGAATAAATGAATCCAATAAATCCACCATCAGTCTCAGTGTGCATCTGAAATACATGTCCAAACTCCTTTATTAACAAGATTCCAAGCCTCATATAAACTTTTTCAGCTCAACACCTCCAAATCAGAAGTCCTCCTCATCAACCCGCCTCCATCAATAACCCACATGCAAACCCACCTCGGCCCCCTATACTCAAACATCACTCCCTCTGCCCGTAACCTCGGTGTCATTTCTGATTCTCACCTCACCTTCTGCTCCCACATAAAAAAAAAAACACCCAATGCTGCTTCTTTCACCTCCGCACCATCTCAAAGATTAAAAACATTCTCACTCCTCCCGATCTCCATTAAGTCGTCAACGCTCTCATCTTCTCCCGCCTCGACTACTGCAGTTCCCTCCTCTCCGGTCTAAATCCCTCTCCCGCCTCCAACTGGTCCAGACGCAGCAGCCAGACTTCTCACTGGTTTTAACAGAAGGGAGCACATCACCCCTGTCTTAGCGTCCCTCCACTGGCTCCCTGTGCGTTTTAGATTGTACTGATTAGTTTGTGTAAGCCCTCAGTCGTACAGGGATTAGTCAAAGCAGAGGAAGGTTTCTCACCCATCATCTGTACTTCTTAGCAAGTTTTCCCGACGTTTCGTCCTCAACCTGGGGACTTCTTCAGGGAATGAATTCTCGGACCGCGAAACACAAACTCGGGGTCATTAGAACGCTTCAACACCGAGCCCACCAGGTCCCCACTAGCTCGGAGGGAAAGAACAGAGAAACCAAACATGTTCAGAAAGCACTTTCCAGATGTGGCTACCCCAAGTGGTCTTTTACTAAAGCCCAAAGGACGAGAAAGGCCAGAGACACAGTCCTACAGACAGAAGAAAGTAGGAGGAGAGGGGTGTCCTTACCGTATGTGGCGGGAGTTTCAGAGAAACTACAAAGAATCTTTAGGCAACATAAAATCCCTGTGTATTTCAAACCTTTCAACACGTTAAGACAGAAATTAGTGCATCCCAAAGACAAAACACCCAGACACAAACAGAGCAATGTGGTGTATTCAATTAAATGTAGTGAAGAGGAGTGCACTGACCACTATATTGGAGAAACCAAACAAACTCTACAGAAACGACTTTACCAACATCGTAGAGAAAACTCTAGTGGGCCACAGTCGGCTGTTCATCTCCACCTCAAGGCCTCCAACCACACGGTGGATGACACAGAGGTTAAAATTCTGGCTCGGGAGAAGAATTGGTTTGAGAGAGGGGTGAAAGAAGCCATTTTTGTGAGGAAACAAAAACCTTCTCTTAACAGAGGAGGAGGGTTAAGATTTGTTTTGCCTCGCATCTATGACGACATCCTAAA